CACCGCCTAGGAGAGGTGGACGTTAAGTAATAGCATTACACAATTTGGCTCGGACCCTCCCTTTATATACCGGGACTTCCAGGGCAGAGGAGGGAGAAGAGAAAAGAGAATGGAAGGACTAGATGGGTAAGAACTTGAGAGGAACAAACTGAGATGGGGAAGAACTAGATTGAAGGGCTAGAAGAGAGTACTAGAGGAACGAGATGGAAGATGAGGAAGAGCCAGATGGGGAAGAACAAGATGAAGAAGAACAAGATGAGAAAGAAAGGAGATGAGAGAGGAGCTGAAAGGGGAAAGAACTAGACAGATGAGAACCTAGAAGGGACAGAACTAGATGAAGGAATTAAGATAGAACCTAGAGGGGACAGTAGATAAATACAGAGAAATCAGGCAAGAAAGGAGCTAGACATGAGAGCAGAATAGAAGCTGTGTAGAGAAAGAACTATCACAGAATAATAAAGTGTATGAACTAAGGAGTTTCGTGTACATAGATTCATTTCTTTTTATCAAAGATTAATTATCAGCTTGTTGTAGATTCTTCCCGGACCCTGGGAGGGGACTCTCGAGAGGCTGGACCCCCTTAGTCCCCGATAGCTCATTTGTCTGTTGCTTATTTTATTCTGCCTCTTGAGTGGTGGTTTTGTTGTTTTATTTTGTTTTTTTTTTCCTTTTCGGTCCGCATGACAGCCCTGAGATTGTAAGCATGTGCCACTGCTCTTAAAAAAAAAAAAATGGGGCAGGAGTGCCTGGAGAGATGCTCTTCCAGAAGACCCACATTTAATTCCAGGCATCCACACAGCAGCTCACAACTGTGTGTAACTAGTGCCGGGAGACCAGTGCCCTCTTCTGGCCTCCGTGGGAATCACGCGTGCATGTGGTGCACGGACGTAGATGCAGGCAAAACACCCGGACACATCAAATAAAATTTTTACTAAGTCCGAGAATTTCATACAGTGCATTTTTAACATGTTCATGTCAACTCCTTCAGCTGGAGATGTAGCTCTGGTAGCAAGAGTGTTTGCCTACCATGCACAAAACCCTGGGTTCAAAATGGAACATGATGGCACAACCCTGGAATCCCAGCCCACAGGAAGTAGAACAAGAGGATCACGTTCTCCTCCTTACCCATGTGTCTTAGCTTTTTTTTTTGAATTGCTGTGATAAGATACTGTGATCACCATGGTGGGGAGCAGGACAGCAGGCAAGCAGGCGTGAGTATGGAGCCGTAGCTGAGAGCCTACATGTGACCATAGCGTAAGGCAGAGAACGCTAACCGGAGTAGAGCTGGCTTTGACACCTCAAAGCCCATACCCGGTGACACTCTCACAGGGCCGCACCTCCTAATCCTTCCCAGTTTTACCAGCTGAAAACCACGTGGTCAAATAGATGAGCCTATGAGTGCCCTTCTCACGCCAACCACCATACCACCCAGCTTGGAGTAGGGTGTCATCTCCCACCATCAAGTCCAGTGTGTGTTGCTCAGCTAGCCATGGGAGTGAGGCCCCGTTGGCCAGCAACTCAAAAGGTAATTCATTCCTGCTGCTGGGGATTGTATTAGCTAGTATGAGGTGTCTAGTTGGGGTTTGTGCCTCCATGGTAGGGTAACTATTGTACATGTGTGTGTTTTATGAAGCTTCTGTAGTGGTACTTTCCAGAAGCTTTCTCAGAAGACCTTCAGTGTTAGATATCCTTCCCCATAGCTTCTTCTCTACCCCACCCTCACATCTCCCATCCCAATTTAACCCTTCCTGGTCCATTATTCCCATTTAATCCTTTATACCTCTGTGTTCTATCTCCCCTCCCTCGATGCTCTAGTCTGGTGCTTTACACTGCTCAGCCGTCCTGACCTCCTGCCCACCACTCTTATTTTTTTTTAATTGTATGTGTGGTGTGTGTGTCTCTCTCTGTGGTGTGTGTGTGTCTCTATCTGTATATGGGGTGTGTGTGTTGCGGGCGGTATGTCCAAGTGAGTACAGGTGCTGGTGGAGGCAGGGGCCTTGAATCCCCCTGGAGCTGGTGTTACTGGCAGTTAAGAGCTGCCTTCCTGGGTGCAGTGACCTGAACTTGGGTTCTCTGAATGAACAGTACATGTTCTTGGCCTCCGAGCTATCTTTCCAGCCCCTCTTACTTTTTAATGATTCAAAAAATTCACTGAAATATTGAAAATAATATTGTCAGTATCTGCCTCTTTCTCTATCAGATATAAAGTAGTCGAATACCCTCTGCCCCATATTAGCATATGCATATTTACTTTCGGATGGCCTTTTTTTCTCCTCCAAATGAAGTCCATTTTGTTCTTCCTAGAAATAATTCCATCCTTACTTTAAGTCTTTATTTTGTTTATGTGTCTGGATGTTTTGCCTGCCTGTGTGTCTACATAGCCTGTGCTTGCTTGTGCCTGTGGAGGCCAGAAGAAGGAGTCACAACTCCTGAAGCTAGAGTTACAAGAATGTGAACTAGCCGGGCGGTGGTGGCGCACGCCTTTAATCCCAGCACTCGGGAGGCAGAGCCAGGCGGATCTCTGTGAGTTCGAGGCCAGCCTGGACTACCAAGTGAGTTCCAGGAAAGGCGCAAAGCTACACAGAGAAACCCTGTCTCGAAAAACCAAAAAAAAAAAAAAAAAGAATGTGAACTGCCCAACGTGGGTGCTGGGAACTGAACTTAGGACCTCTGGAAGAGCAGAAGCGCTCTTAACCTCTGAGCCAGCTGTCCAGCCCCTGCTTTTGAAGAGCGGGCCTCACGTAGCCCAGGCTGACCTCCAGCTCCTAATTCTCCTGCTTCCACGTCCTGAGTGCTGTAATTGTAGATGAGCACCAGCACACGCAGCCTGCAGCCAGGCTTTTAAACCTCTGGTGGGTGCAAAGTACTGACTGTTACTCTATTTTGCCTTAGAAAGCGGGGGACCATTGGGATGCTTGTTAGGTAAAGACGCCAGACCCCAAACTTTATGAGACCTACATGTGGAAGAGCTAACGTGGAAGTTGTCTTCCAGTCCTCTGACCTCCACATGTTTGGGCACATGCATGTGCACACACACATGCAAACGGCAATAAGTTAAGAAATGAATGCAGGTGCCTTACATTTCTTGTAACCATCTAAAAATACTCATTTAATATTGTTTCCTTTCCTTCTTTAACTATGATTTATTATTTGTGTGTGTGTGCATGTGGGCACATACGAGGCACAGTGTGCGTGAGTACCCAGAGAGCAGCTCTGGAGTTGGTTCTCTGCTTCCAACTGTGTGGGCTCCAGGGATCAAACTAGGCTCATCAGGACTTTGATTATGTCAAGCCCTTTACCCACTGGAGCGTCTCACCAGCCCTAATTATCTCTTCTAATGTAACACTTTCCTGCATATTCTCTTAGAACAAGCTGCTTAATTGTGTTTTTAATTGAAAAGAAATTACTTTTAGAAACAGTTACAATTTAATTTACTTGGATTCGGGAATTTTTTTTTTAAAGTAGTTCTGTATGGCAAATGTGTTGCTGATTAGTCAATAAATAAAACACTGATTGGCCATTGGCTAGGCAGGAAGTGTAGGCGGGACAAGGAGGAGAATAAAGCTGGGAAGTGGAAGGCTGAGTCAGAGAGACACTGCCAGCCGCCACGATGAGAAACAGCATGTGAAGATGCCGGTAAGCCACGAGCCATGTGGCAAGGTATAGATTAATGGAAATGGATTAATTTAAGCTGTAAGAACAGTTAGCAAGAAGCCTGCCACGGCCATACAGTTTGTAACCAGTATAAGTCTCTGTGTTTACTTGGTCGGGTCTGACGGCTGTGGGACTGGCGGGTGACAGAGATTTGTCCTGACTGTGGGCCAGGCAGGAAAACTCCAGCTACAGCTGGAGATGTAGCTCCGGTAGCAAGAGTGTTTGCCTACCATGCACAAAACCCTGGGTTCAAAATTGAACATGATGGCACAACCCTGGAATCCCAGCCCACAGGAAGTAGAACAAGAGGATCAGAATTTCCAGGTCACCCTCAACTTTGAGGCTGACCTGGGATACTTGGAACCCAGCCTAAAAAAGTTCTTTTTTCAATCACATATTTTTGTTTAAATGTTTCTTTTCTTTTTCTTTTTTTCTTTTTTTTTTTTTTTTTTTTCGAGACAGGGTTTCTCTGTGTAGCTTTGCGCCTTTCCTGGAACTCACTTGGTAGCCCAGGCTGGCCTCGAACTCACAGAGATCCGCCTGGCTCTGCCTCCCGATTGCTGGGATTAAAGGCGTGCGCCACCAACGCCCGGCTCTTTTCTTTTTTTTAAACCACATGTTCGTCTTCAAGGTGGGAAAGATGAGGGAAGATAAAAAGGTTCCTTTTCCCAGAATCTGGTGGAAAGCTAGCACATGGTGAGGAAAGGAAAGGGCACTCAGATGAGCAGAGTCCAGAGCTTACAGAATAATCTGAGTGCGGTAGAGTTTGAATTCATGAGAAAGTTTATTGCAGTTTTTATAATGTGAAGTTTGAAAGCACCTGCCTGTCGAGCGGCAGAGGACGCTTATGTAGACTGTGGTATTCCTGTTCTGGTCTGTACTTGATCAACTGAAGATGATTTGAAATACAACACTGGAAAACGCTTGTGTTACCTATTAATGTTGTAAGACTATGTGCAGTGTGATCCCAATTCTAATTAAAGTAAACATTACAAGGAATTGGAAATGAATACATTGGAAATATTTTATTTCTGGATGAGAATTGGGTTTTGTATTTATCTTGCCTAAGTTTGTGTATATATAAAGTTTTCCTATTATGGTGAAATTTCGGGACTGTCAGTAAGCTTCTGTTTCATGGCAATACTCAAACCATAAGAGATACTTTTCTCCTGTATCCAGGCACCCTTGTTTGGGACAGTTAGATTTTTGTGTGACACCCCCACCAACCCAGCCCCCAGCCCCTGCTATTACTTTGTTCTTGATGGAGCAGAGTGACTGTTGACCCCAGAGAACCCCCCCAGGCCTGTGCGAAGTAACACTACTGGACTGTCTTTTGTCTCGAACAGGTTGTTGGCGTCCCTGTTGGCTCTACCTTACCTTCCACAGTGAAGCAGGCTGTGGCAATCAGTAGTGGCCAAATCCTTGTCGCCAAGGCCGGCTCTTCTGTCACCAAAGCAGTCGGTCCAAAGCAAGTTGTGACCCAAGGAGTTGCCAAAGCAATCGTGAGTGGAGGCGGAGGGACCATTGTTGCTCAGCCAGTGCAGACCTTAACCAAGACTCCGGTGCCAGCTGCTGGGCCACAGAAGAGTGGTTCCCAGAGCTCAGGTAATTGATAGGAATTCAGGACCTTTCAGTGCATCACTGTGCGGGTTAAAATGATTCGATTTGCTCTTGGGTTCTGACTAGGAAAGCCTCAGAGGTGATACTGTTGGTTTCTTCTCATGGAATTTTCTTAGGGGGGTGGTAGGCAGGGGTCAAGACAGAATTTCTTTTTGTAGCCTTGGCTGTCCTGGAACTCTCTCTATAGACTAGGCTGGCCTCAAACTCATAGAGATCTACTGTGTGGGTGAGGAGAATCGAATCCAAGCCATCAGGAAGAGCAGTCAGAGCTCTTAACAGCCAAGTCCTGGGATTAAAGGCATACACCACCGCGCCTGGCTAGCCTGGACTATTTTATATAGAGATACATAAGTAGCTGAAGTTTTATTTTATGTATGTACTGTAGACGTCTGTGCATGTGTAATAAAAATCAAAGGTTGCATGATTCAGGTCTAAAGTCATTTGCAGCCATTCTTGTCCCACGTTGAGTTGTGCTTCAGACTTTAAACCCTGGCATGACCACGTGTTGGCAACATTTGAAATGTAAAGCTAGTGAACTCTCTACCAAGCAGAAGTTTGAATACCTTCAATAAGCTTTAGCCCTTGATGTTTCTGAGAGCATAAAAACAAAATGCCTAAGACATTCCATGTTTACTTTGGAGGTCTTTTCTTTGGTTTTTGAGGTTTATTTATTTTTATTTTATGTGTAAGGATATTTTACCTGCATGTATATAAAAGTTGATACTTGAAAGCTTTGTACAGTCAGTAAGAAAACCTTATTTTCCTTATGTGGCCACAGTACCTAGCAAGTAGTTAGCATCAGTAAGTATTTGTTAAATGATGTGTACAAGTACTTCTCTGACCACGATGTTTGGGTCTGTTTCTGCTGGTGTTGGTGGTGACTGCTCTTTGCTGGTTCACTGTTCACATAGGAGTCATGCACAGTACCGTAGCGACAGTGAAAAGGGGGTCATCTACTGTAACAGAAGCCTCGCCAATAAAACTGTTGTTCTCAGTTCAAAAAAATAATAGGGGGATTATTTATTTTTATTTTTTGTGTATGGATATTTTGCCTACATAATGTCTGTAAACTGTGTACTTGAAGTGCCCTCAGTAGCCGGAAGAGGAAGTCAAATTCCCTGGACCAGGCGTTAGAGATGGTTATGAGCCACTGTGTGGGTGCTGAGACTCGAACCCAGGCCACCAAGAAGAGCAGTCAGTGCTCTTAACTACCGATGATGCAACTCTCCAGCCCCTAAAACAAGTGCACGAGAGCCTGGCTTGTTGGTTCACACTTTCAACCCCAGCATGTGGGAGAATCATGAGTTTGAATCCAGCTTGTTCTCTGTAGTGAGACCTTCTCTTTTAAAAGCAGGGGAGAAGGTAAAGATAGGTTCGAAGAAATGGTCAGGGCTGGAGAAATGGGCTCATTGCCATGCAAAATTAAGATAAAGACCCGGCCTGTTTATATACATTATTAATTTGTGGGAAGCTTTTCTAGTATGTAAATTATTTTTAGTTTAAAACATCTAGGAAATGTTACTTACTCTTCGTTAGTGTTTTTTAAATATGTATGTTATTACTCCATGTTTTAATTTTAGAATATTACCCATAGTTGATTATCTTCTTGTTTTTCTTCCCCTTGCCTCCTTATCGTTTTTAGTAATGGCAACATTGCAGCTACCAGCCACTAATTTGGCCAACTTGGCAAATTTGCCTCCGGGCACTAAACTGTACCTTACCACGAACAGCAAGAACCCCTCAGGAAAAGGGAAGCTGCTGCTAATTCCTCAAGGAGCCATCCTGCGAGCTACCAACAATGCCAGTTAGTCCGTCTTTCCGTCACTTGGTCCCCGGACCTCTGCATGGGTTCGTCTTGTCCAGCTGAGGGGCAGTTCTTAACTGAGCCAGGAAGCATTTCTGTAATTCTGCTTGATGGTGTGATGGAGGAATTGCCCAAGCGGGTTTTAAACTTGCACATATTTTAACTAGAAAGTGGGTTTAAATAATCACAGTCCTAGGCAGTGACTCTGTTATTTGGAGTGTTCTGTTGGAGTTTGGGATCAGATGGGATATGGAGAGGTCTGGCTACCCAGGCTGTGTTGGGGAAGAGCTGGGAAAGGACCCATATGCTTGAAGTGGCTGGGTTGTTTTCTGAAGCAGATGTGCTAGGGTAGGAACCAGCTGACCCTTGACTAGTTTTTAGATGTATTGATAGATTTGGAGGTGAAATGAGAATTCCGGGTTCAATCTTAAGTGTGTTTCTAAAGCCCCAAGGAAACCAGGTTTAGTTATGTAAAACTTTATTTTGACAACGGCAGTGTGGGTGGTGTTGAAAGGTACATATTCCCCTCTGAATTGAAGTGTAATGTTACAGCAGCCAGGCTCCCTTGTCTGTTGACAAACAGCCTTAAATATGCACAATCCTGGCAGGCCTGGTCAGTGCTTAGATGGGAGAAGTGAATGACTCAGTGTACTGTGTGAACCACTTGCCATTTCTGCAGTGGGCCACTGCCACTTGTTCTGGTATGCTCTCCTCACACCTAAGTAGTACAGTGTCTGCATAAGGAAAGGCCAGCCTCAGGACTCCACAGTAGAAGCAGGACGCACCTCTGGTTTACACTGTCCTCGGGGTCACAGACTATTGAGAAGGATTGTGCTAGCTGTAATCAAGGTGGGAGAGTTTGAATGTATGCTTAGAGTCCTGGGGATCTTACCTGTTACTCACCAACATGGAAGGAAAAGAAAGTCCATTGGCTTTGGAGTGAGATCTGAAAAAGAATTGGGAACGTAGAACCAAAGACGGATAATTCGAATTAAAAACACTAGTCCAGAAAACATCAGCATGAGGCTCTCATCCTGCCCCGCTAAGTCAGATGCTGTCAAGGGCATTCGTCATTGTAGTCAGGGTGGAAGTACAAGTTAAGTGTCCTCTATCTGGAATGCTTGGGACCAGAGTTTGCAGTTTGGGGAATATTTACATAGACTTTAGTAATCATCTATAATCCAGAAAAATCTGACATCTAATATGCTCCATAATCAAGAACTTGGAGTGTTGCTTAAGTATCCAAAACTTTTTGAATTTAAGATTTCCAGCCTACACGTGCTCACTCAGGGTGTGAATAGATTCAGTCTCGCCTTTAAACTCTGGGGAGTTTTCCTCACTCGTCACAGGAGAAGCAGGTCATGGAGGAACGGTAGTGTGGGCAAACGTGTACGCGCATCTGTTTCCTGTCGAGCTTCTTCCTGTGATGTTCCTGTCCCTCCTTGTGCTTGCAGACCTCCAGTCTGGCTCGGCTGCTGCTGGCGGCAGTGGCAGCAGTGGTGCTGGTGCCGGAGGGGGAGGCAGTGGAGGTGGTGGTGGCAGCGGCGGCGGCGGCGGCGGAGCAGGAGGAACCCCAGGCACCACTGGCCCAGGAGGGGTGTCCCAGCACCTGACTTACACATCCTACATCCTCAAGCAAACTCCCCAGGTCTGGGAAGTTTACCTGATCTTGTGGATTAATTACCTGATAAATGCCTGTAATTATTGTTGATTTCCCTTTACCACTCTAGGGTCAGGGGTCAGTACCAATATTTTAGCCATGTTATAAATTTATTTATTTTGAGCTTATTTTGTTTTGAGAGGTGAAAAGATAGATTCAGAAAGATTTAACTTATTGATGTAAGACCTTCTTGCTAAGCTAATGGTAGAGTTTGGATTTGAACCCACATCTTTCTGTCCCAAAGAAAGATTCTGCTATGCTAATTGCCCCTACCCATCTGTGATAAAATAAACAGTATTAATGAACAATTGAAATTCTGCTCTTAGAAAGGAAAGCCAGAGTCAGCATTAGGGTGTGGTGTTTGGGTTGGATTCAGTGAGGAAAAGCTCCATCCCTTCTTTTTCCTTGTTGCTGAAGTCTTGTCCAGACATCGTCATTGAGAAAGATGGGAACAAATCCAGTTGCATTTTTAAACCCAGTCAGCAACCGCGGTGCGTTCGAGTAGGGTAGACTTCCTAGTGGCACTCAGTTGGCTTCCATTTCAGGGGCTGTGAGTTGTAGAAGGTACCCGAGACATTGCAGACTGTAGTCGGAGGTGACCAAGTCCAGTGTTATCTCAGTGAATTCTTTCCTCCCAACTTAGGGTACATTCTTAGTTGGCCAACCATCACCCCAAACACCCGGAAAACAGCTGACTACTGCATCAGTGGTTCAAGGAACACTGGGAGTCAGCTCACCCTCTGCGCAGGGACAACAGACACTGAAAGTCATCTCTGGACAGAAAACCACCCTGTTTACACAGGTAAGGACATACACACCTAACGCATGGTGATTATGCCATTTAATCTGTTTTTCTTTACACAAACTTTAGGAAATCCTAATGAAGCTAAGGTTATGTAGGAAACGGAGCAAACAGTTCAGAAAAACAAGAATAAACCTCAGGTTTAGGAGCGTCTAATTAGAATGGGGAAAATCAAGGCCAAGGGTTGTTCAGATATGTGAGTGATACAGCCTGGGACAGCTGACAGAAGGTAAATTCGGTGATAGAGGTCAAAGGAGAAGCTCCGCCAGCTACACAGGCCACACTTTAGGAGAGGACGGCCGTCCGCTTCCATGGAAGACACGGAGGATTGCTTAACTTTAAAATTTCTGTGGAAGGGATTTCACGTGAGAGACCCTGACTGGTGAACGTGATGATTTCAGCCATTACACCAATAGTAAATGCTGTGGTAGATTAGGGACACACCTTCCACAGCGTTCTTTAATATGAACCAAAGAGACAATGCCAGCACTCTGCCTGGGTGCAGGACCTTGTAATCCTCCATGAGAAGCTGTAACTGCAGGAGCAGAGACGTGTGGAACAGCTGGAGGCTCCTTTCCAGGACGGGGTGCTGGGTGCTTGGTTGGCTTTGTCCTTCATGCTGGTAGAAGACTTTCACCTTTCAGTTTGTCACGTTGTTTCTACTGTCACACCGATTGTGTACTTCCGGAGCAAGCCACACTTGGTTTTCACGTTTTTATCCCTTAGCAATATATTTGCAGGGCTTCATTTGATAGACTTTGTGTAGCATTTTTCAAAAGTCATTGATCAGTGGTTATTATTATCTGTCTGGTTTGCTCAACTATTATTTTAATTTATTTAACAGATCGGCCATTCAGGTTGTTTCTTCTTGAAGTTTTAGGGGTTCGTTTTTGTTCGGTTTTCATAATTACTTGTTCATTAAGTAGCTTTTGAACATAGTCAGTTGACTGTGTTTATTTTTTCTCTCATTGCCATAATTTTGATACTGCGAAGAATGGGAAGATACGGTGGATTGTGTTTGGTTCACTGTTCTTAATTTGTGTACTTATTTCTTGCTGTGACAGAATGGCCACAAGTACAACGTAAGGAGGAAGGGAAGGAGAGAGGGGAGTTCATTTTAGCTCACAGTTCTAGAATACAGTCCCCTCAGTAGGAAGTCACAGCAGCCAGAAAGGACACAGCTGGTCGTGTTGCCTCCCCAGTCAGGAAGCAGAGAGATGAATAAATGCTGGCGTTCCGGTCGCTTTCTCTTTCTTATGCAGCCTGGGACCACAACGCAGGGGATGGTATCACTCACATTTAGAGTAGGTTATCTCACCTCAGCATCATTTAAATCTGTCATAAACATACCTAGCGGTTTGTTTCCATGGTAACTAAATCCCATCAAGTTGACAATCAAGATTGACCACATTATGAAACAAATTTTTTTAGGGATCAAAGCAAAGATCTGCAATGAAGATTGAGTGGCGTAAATATTTACTCATCAAACTGTATGATGGCAGAAATGTGTAAGACACAAAGACCAGTAGCAATATAAAGGGAACTTAAGGGGGCTGGAGAGATGGCTCCGTTAAGACCTTTGGCTGTTCTTGCAGGGGACCTGGGTTTTGTTCCCAGCACCCACATGGCAACTTCCAGCTGTCTCTCAGCCCAGGTTAGGGGATCCAGTTCCCTCTCCTGGCTTCCATGTGCACTGCATGCATGTGGTACACATCTGTACATGACAGGCGGAACATTCAGACACATAAATAAAGATAAATATTTAATAAAATAAAGGGAACTTAGACTTATGGAAGGGGAAACTTTTCTTTTTTTTAGACTAGGCTAACCTTGAGCTCACAGAGATCCTCCTGCTTCTGCCTCCTGAGTGCTAGGATTACAGGCGTGCACCACCATGCTTCGCTTGTGGGGGAACCTGTTAAGATGTCTCAGAATTTAGGCGATCAATTGGATAAATCTTCTTATTCAGTTTGAGGGGCTGAGGTTATGTTGGCTCAGTGGTAGAACCTTGCCTGGCATACCTGGAGCCCGAGTTTCATCCTTAGCACCCAACCTAAAAGTGATAATAATAGTACAAACAGAAATGCTGTTTGTGGCATTTCTGTAATGCTGGCACGTGGGAGATTAAGGCACGAAGACAGTGAGCTCAAGACTAACCGTACGTAATTAGCCACTTGGTCCACAAAAAGCAGCTGAGTTGGCGTGGCATTTATTAGTGTTTTCTGTTTCACTTTTGTAAGAAGTTAAGGTGCTGGATGCTCAGTTACATGAAACATGACTCAGTCAGTGGCCTCCATATTCTTGTTTTAAGGAATTTAAAGAGTGAAATTTGTAGGCCACAGAGGGTAAGTTTTAGAAAGAAGTATTTTGTTGGACTGGGTGTGATGACACATGCGTTTAATCGCAGATCTTTAGGAGTTTGAAGCCAGCCAGGGCTACATAGAGAGACTCTGTCTCCCCAAGAAGAATGAATGAATGAATGCTGACCCTGTGTCTGTCCCAGAGCACCATTAGCTTACCTGAGTGAATCTTGCCCTACCCAGGTTTAATTTCTCCTATTTAAAGCCTCCATGTGGGGCTGGGGAGGTGGGTAAGATCACGCAAGCAGGAGGACTCGAGTTCAAATCCCCAGCACCCATGTAAAAAGAGGTAGAGACACTTAGTGTAGCCACCTGTTCAGTCCTCAGCCCATGGGAAGGTGGAAGGAAAGAACCAGCTGGCGTGTGCACAGCTGCCCCCACCCAAAACAATAGCAATTAAAATTATTTTTACATTGGGTGTGGCCGTGCAGACATAACCCCAGTGCTCGGGTGGGGGGTGCGGGCAGACGCTGGAGAATCACTGGGAGCTGGCCACTAGCCTAGCTCCAGGGTCAGTGAGAGACCCTCTCTCTAGGAATACCTGAGGTCCTCCTCCAGCCTCCTCATGTGCATAAGCATGTGCACATGCTCACATATATGCACATACCTCAGTCACAACACACACAAGTAAACCACGGTAAGTACTCCATGAGATTTAAGGAAACACTGACTCAACTATTTTGAAAACAGGGCCTGCTAGCTCTGAAGATACTAGTTACAGAGAGTGATTTGCAAACACACTCGTTTATTTGTTCCATTTTAGCGTAAGGGACCTCAGTGATTTGCAAACACACTCGTTTATTTGTTCCATTTTAGCGTAAGGGACCTCAGAGGTCGTAGAATTCATCCGGCTGGTTGGAAGGTCCCTACAGACCTCCCGCAGTGCTGCCTGGCAAGGCTTGCTGAAGTACGTTTAGTGCAGATGAGGAACAAGGTGTGCACTGTTGTCTCTTGGTCTTCTGACTGCTGCAGGCAGCCGCTGCGGGGCAGGCCTCGCTGGTAAAGTTACCTGACAACACGCTCAAGTCTGTGCCGGCGCCGGCGGTGGCGGCATCACAACTCGCCAAGCCTGGGACCACGATGCTTCGAGTGGCAGGAGGGGTGATCACAGCTGCTCCCTCCCCCACCGTGGCCTTCTCCACGAACGGTGCTGCACACCAGGTGAGGAGGGCACGGGAGCCGAGGGTCCATCGGGTAAGGACATGGGAGCAGAGAGTCATCAGGTGAGGACACAGGAGCAGAGGGTCATCAGGTGAGGACACGGGAGCAGAGGGTCATCATCAGGTGAGGACACAGGGGCAGAGGGTCATCATCAGGTGAGGACACAGGAGCAGAGGGTCATCATCAGGTGAGGACACGGGCAGAGGGTCATCATCAGGTGAGGACACAGGAGCAGAGGGTCATCAGGTGAGGACACAGGAGCAGAGAGTCATCATCAGGTGAGGACACAGGAGCAGAGTGTCATCAGGTGAGGACACAGGAGCAGAGGGTCTTCATCAGGTGAGGACACAGCAGCAGAGCCTCTGTGAGCAAGAGAAGGGGTGAACAGTGGGCCTTTGGAAAGCCCCTCAGATGTTGGTCTTTTTTAAAATTGCAGTATAGAATTCATATAGCATGAAAGGTACTGTTTCTAATATGTAGTTCAGTGATTTTTATTCTATTTTCAGGACTGGCTAACTTTTCATCATCTAATTCCAGAACATTTTCATTGTCCCCAAAGCTACCCCGTACCAATCCGCTTTCCCTCCAGCCCTACACAAAACACCGAGCTTCCATTTCTGTGTTTGTTTGTTATTTTAGGTGTGTGTTTGTGGTGGGGTGGGGGAATGCGGGGGCGTTAGGGATCAGAGGCAACTTGGAGGCGTCTGTTCTCTCCCTCCACCGTGGGATCTTGGAATCAACCTCCAGTTGTTACTCATGAGCCATCTTGACCGTTCAAATCTTTCTAAGTGGATTTTCCTGTTTGGAGATTTTTATATAAAGGCAGCAACACACAAGGCCTTCCATATCTGTCTGCTTCTATTCAGTGTGTTTCGACACAGTCTCTCTATGTAGCTCAGGCTGGCCCTTGCCTCTGTCTCACGGAGTTACAGGCATGCACCACCACGCACTCCACATAACATTTTCAAGGTTTATCTATGTTCTAACATTTATAAATCTTCCGTTTTTTTTTGTATCTGAATAATACTTTTGTATATCTATTTTTTTTTTGTCCATCACTTAATGGAACATCTGTATTTCCTACTTTTTGACTATTAGGAATGCTTCTATAAACATGTATGTACACATTTCATTTTTCCTGTTTACAGAGCTAGGAGTAGAATTGCTGGCTTGTTTAGTGACTGTAGTTGGAGTTTTCTCCAGTCACGCTCGGGCCCACAGCTGCTCAGACCCAAGTAAACACACAGAGATTTATATTACTTATAAACTGTATGGCTGTGGCAGGCTTCTTGCTATCTAGTTCTTATATCTTAAATTAACCAATTTCTATTAATCTATAAGTTGCCATGTGGCTTGTGACTTACCGGTACTTTACATCTTGCTTCTCATGGCAGCAGCTGGCAGCATCTCCTGACTCATTCAGCCTTCCACTTCCCAGTATTCTCCCCTCTCTTATCCCTCCTATACTATACTTCCTGCCTGGCTACTGTCCAATCGGTTTTATTTATCAATCAATCAGAGCAACACATTCACAGCATATAGAAAGACATCCCCAGCAAGTGACTCCTAGTATTTTGAGGAGCTGACAAAGTAGATGTGCCGTTCCTTGTTCCTGCCAGCTAACTGAAGAGTTACACTTTCTAAGTCCTTTATGTGTGATGTGTGGATGAATGTGCTCTCTTGTGTGCAGGTTGGTTCTCTCCCCTGTGTGTTCTTGGACTTGAACTCCGGTCAGCAGGCTCGTGTGGCAAGCACCTTTACCCACCAGGCCATTTGAGCAGCCCACGTTCTCTCGGGAGCATCCTGGGAACCACAGACAGCATTTCTTTGGATGACGTCCTGGTTACTTGTTTTTGCTGTCGTTGCTTCTATGACGCCATGTCCAAGAAGCTGTGGCTAATCTACGGTCCTCTCTCTTAATTGGGTCCATCTTGAGTTGACTCTAGTTGGTGGTGTCAGATTTTAGAACCAAGCTTGGTTCCTTATGTGTAAATACCTAGCTGATCTGACATCATTTGTCAGGAAATTTGTTTTCCCTTTAAACTATTTCTCAAGCCTGTGGTAGCCCCTTCTCTGTGCCTGATCATGGCTGTGCTGCTGTACCTAGCAGCCCTTGTATGCCATATGCGTCCATGCCGCTTTCTCTCTACATGTTCTCAGTCTGGTGCAAAGAAGTACTTCGTCTGCTGTGGCTCTTAAAGGGTCCTGCAGTGTCCAGTCGTTCTGGCAGGGGCTTCTCGCAGCGCCCTCCCTTTTAAGTCTCCATGGTACTGTCTCCTTCCCTCCCACTGTTTTAATAAAGCTCATTTTATTCCATTGTACCTTCTGAAAGTACGCCCTTCTTTTTTGGTATTGAATGGCCTTTCATAAAGTTATATCAGGCTGGCTAGACGGCTCAGCAGGTAAAGGCTCTGGGTGAGCAAGGCTGGAAGCCTGAGTCGGACCCCAAGGTAAAGGAGAAAGCCAGCTTGTTTTCTGTTCTCCACATGCTCACACGCACAAACACACATACACTCTAATAATAATTCCTTTAATTAAAAAGTATGTATTTTATCTAGTGAACCTTTTTTATTTAATAACTGCAAAACTAATTTTCCTGGCCTGTGAAATGTAAAAATAGAGGAACTACTAAATCAGAGAAACCATCCTCTTTGTGCGTGAGTGTGAGATTACAGGCATGTGCCACACCCAGTTTATGCCATGTGAGCAATCAGAACGAGGGCTTTGTGCACAGTAGGTAAGTGTTCTACCAGGTGACCTACATCAGTTGAGAACACTTGCTGCTCTTCAACACCTGAGTTCAGTTCCCAGCACCCACGTAAGTGGCTCACAACCATCCGTAACTAGTTCTAGGAGATCTGGTGCCCTCTCTTGAATTCTGCAGGCACCTACACACGTATGCGTGCACACACACACACACACAAATAAAAATACATGTAAAAAACATTCTTAAAGCTATTCTTTTTAAAATAGCATGACATGGCCAAGGAGGTAGTTTAGCTGTAGAGGCGTCTGCCGGCAACCTGAATTTAATTCTCAGGACCCGTATGGTGGGAAGAGAGAACTGACTCCTACAGGTTGTCCTCTCAGACCTCCGCGAGTGCGTGGTACACATGCCTACATATGTAAACAGGCGTCTTTGTGTTACAGAGTTGCTGTTTGTTAGTGTGCTCTGTGTAAGTTACATGCTCTCTTCCTAATTCCCCTGACTCCACTTGTGTCTCTGTTACTGAACAGTCGGAAGGGTCAGTTCCTGTTTCATCCTCTGTCGGCTCTATAATCAAAACTCCCGGGCAGCCACAAGTGTGTGTAAGCCAGGCCCCCGTGGGCATGTGCAAGGGCACAGCTCCCTCCGTCAGCGCAGCATCCCTGGTGTCCACACCAAGCTCCATCTCTGGGAAAGCCACAGTGTCAGGTAAGTGACATTCCTTCCGTTAGACAGAATGTGTTTGGAAGGTATTCATATTTGTATTATATATCATTAAATAATCCAGAAATAGTTTCCAGATAGCTACATTTAGTGTGGGGGTGAGAGAGTGACTGGACAACTTGAAGGAGCTGGTTCTTAGGTCGTCGGGGGCTTGGCAGCAGGCACCCTTACTCTCTCTGTAGTCCTGGCTGTCCTGGACTCATTATGTAGACCAGGTTGGCCCAAACTCACAGAAATCCTCCTGCCTCTGCCTCCTGGCAGCTGGGATTAAAGGCATGCTCTACTGCTCCCATCACTGAGACAAGCCTTTTGAGGTACTTCCTTTTCGCCCTAAAGGAAAAAGACTTTTCGCCCTAGCATGGGCCCCAAGGAGGTTCAGGAAGCCAGGCCTGCGGTGTGTATGTACATTCTCTTCTGTAAACACTGACATAATGAAAAAACCAATGCTGAGGTAATTCATCAAAAGGGTTGCAGGCGGCGACACTAGGCACGGGGTTAGACTGTTTAGTCAGAAACTTTGTCCTCTTACAGCCCCTCAGCTGCTTAGCATACAGTATTTGGATAAAAATAGAAATTTGGAAACTGTGAAACGCCAGGTCGTTTTCTTTCTCCAGAGGACACGTCTCAGCAGCAGTTGCTGTTTGGAGGCCCTTTGCTTCCCTCTGCACCTTTCCATTAGCTTTGCAGAATTTTGTTCTGTTCTGTGTGTTTGCAGAATTCTCTTTCCTGTTCTTGTTTTTTTGGTTTAGGGCAAGGACACTTGAAAAATAAATGATTATATTACATCAGAGTTTCATTGTAAAATCTCCATTGTCCATTGCCCCCTGCACCCGACTGTTTTTTTAACTAAAGGGTGATTGTCCTGGGAACTTCCTTGTGGGAGAAACCCAGAGTGGCAGAGAGGGCAGGAGCTTGAAGGAAGTGTCTGATCTTTGCTCGGCTTTGTCTTCCCACTCACTGTAGGATTGTTGAAGATTCATTCTGGTCAGTCCAGTCCCCAGCAGGCTGTCCTGACAATTCCCAGTCAGCTCAAGCCACTGAGCATCAACACCTCTGGTGGCGTGCAGACTGTCCTGATGCCTGTGAATAAAGGTGCGTCCCACCCTTGAGCCCCCACAGCCCGTCTCAGAGGACTCCTCCTCCTACCAGGTCGGGAGGTCTCTGCTTTGTACAAGTTGTCAGTTAGCCTGGTGACCAGCATCTGTATGCCCTGAGCCGTCTTGCTGGCCCTAGCTACCCGTTTCTAAAGATAAGTCAAAAAAGCAACACTTTGAAGTTTGTGAGAGTTGGGATTGGGTTTTTGTTTTCTTGGTTTCCTGACGTGCCCCCGTGACCATAGTGGAGGTTGTAGCTCAGTTACCCTGCCATTAGCAGACAGCACAGCTAAACATGGCCGTTAGGTCCTTTAACAGTTTTCGTCTTGCAAGGAAGACAGTAGAAAGAATGCAAGAGCCACGGGTTGGGGAGAAGGGCCGTGGGACTCTGTCTTCTGGACACACCTTAGCCATTGCACTCAGGAACTTGCAGTCACTGTGGCTGCCTACACAGGGCTGGGTCTGTCAACGTTCAGTCAAGGATGGGAGAGTGCCTCATAAGCCCAGCCCTTGGGGGAGGGAGCACTGATTAGCAGTTGACGGCTACTGGGAAAGGGGGAGTTGTGTCTTGTGGTTCAACCACTGGACAGCTGCCCATGCTCCAGTAGATAGATAGCTCCACACCAATGTCTGTGTGTGCAGTGCTGGCTAAACTCTGGGTCTCAAAACAAAAAGATTAGATAGTGGGAGGGGCTTGTTGGAAGAAAGGGGAGCTGTGGGGATGTAAAGTCATGGAGAAGGTGCAGTGAGTGTGACTGGAGTATATTATACACATGGATAAAGTTGTTGAAGAATAAATACTAATTTCTGTCACTATTCTGTCTCCCTTTTCTGTCTTAGTGGTTCACTCATTTTCTACCAGCAAATTACCTACCGTCTTGCCCATCAGTGTCCCAAATCCAGCTGCCCCCAGCTCTGCTCCAGTAGCTATTGCAAAAGGTATGTAGGACTTCACAGTGTGTGTCTTTGTCCCAGAATTTCATGCAGGAATGTTTTGAATTTCAGCATCTGTTGTCAGCCGCTTGACAAATACACGACAAATAAATAAATACTTATGTCATAGACTGAGGGAAATAGACGTTGAGGGGCATCAGGCATCATTTTGCCCTCCAGTTTATAACCAGGTTGAGGAAAGGTGCATAATTAGCAAACTGGTTGCTAAGTGTAAGATCTAGAAAGTGATTACCGACATACTGTAGTCCAGGATGTCTGGTCAGGGTTCTTGGGGACAGGATTTTGTGGGGGTTTTGTTATTTTTTTGTTTGTTTGTGTTGTTGGTTGGTTGGTTGGTTGGTTGGCTGGTTGGTTGGTTGGTTGGTTGGTTTTTCGAGACAGGGTTTCTCTATGTAGCTCTGGCTGTCCTGGAACTCACTCTGTAGACCAGGCTGGCCTCAAACTCACAGAGATAGGCCTGCCTTTGTCTCTCAAGTGCTGGGAGTAAAGGCATGCATCACTGCCACCTCGACTGGGGACAGACTTTCTTGGGCATGTATAAAGCGGACTTTTGAAGAGCAGAGAGCCCTTCAATTGTAAGGAGGTTAAGGGGTGTGCTGGATTAAGGGAATAGTAGAGATAAGACTTGAAGGGCTTATTTATGGAAATTGACCACTTGGGGATGCTTTGGGGCAGCATAGTTGTGAGGAAGGAGCTTTAGTAGGGAGCAGACTGAGCTAGCAGAGCATCCTTGACTTTAAGAATAGATGATTAGAAGGTGGAATACAGTGGGTCAGGGCAAACCTTCATCATCTACAGCATCTCTAACAATGACAGACTCCATGTGTTCAGGCTCTGGTTCCTGCTGTTACGTGCATATAGCACTGTCACTAATTCTTAGCTCAGTCCTTCAGGATGGCTGTCATGCGCTGGATTGTGTTTAGAGGTGCATACACTTCCCAAATCCAGGAAGCGGTGAAGTTGAAATTTGTGCTAGGCTGCTTTTCAGGCATTCTGGGATCCCATTGTCTTGGGAGGTGGGTTTGTGATTTGCTAAATGCACATTTAGAGCAGAGTATGTAGCTGACAGGGATCCAGGACCTGATTTTGTTCGTAAGTCTTTATTGCCCCAAGTTTGGTTCTTTTAGAGACCGTATGACTCACAAAGCCTCCAATACTTATGGATTATCCTGTGTAGCTGTGAAAGCATTGATACCACTCTGCACCGATTGATGATCATTTAATTTCGGGCCAGGACAGATCATCTCTTAGTTTTGGGTTTTATTACATTAACTGTATGTGTGCACACTGGCATACACACACTGGTGTGCATATCGAAGTTTATGGATGACTTGTTGGGGTTGTTTCTCTGCTCCCACCATGAGAATCCCAGGAACTGAACTCAGACTTGGCAGCAAGCACCTTTGCCCACTGGGCCATCTCACCAGCCCTCTATTTTGATTTTAAGCCAAGAAAAATGTGCAGTGAAGTGCAGAGATAATAAACATGCCATCTGATGATCAATAAATGTAAAGAATGTACCATCCAAGATAGGGAGATTTCCATGGCCCTTACCCTTTTTTCTAACCCTTGCTCAGTTTCCAGCCTCTGGTCAGCCAGTCTTGTAATTTCTGTCACCGTAGGTTGTTTCTGTGTTTGAAATTGATAAAATGAAAGCATACACATCTTTTGGGCTTGATTTTCTTCATCGCTTTTGAGGTTTGTTTATATTGTTTATGTAAACCGCTGAGCAGTGGTTTACATTGGAGGCATATATTGTAATTTTTGCTTTCTTCATTGAGGGCATTCGGTGGCTTCCAGTTAGCAATGCTTATTATAAATTTTTTTTTTTTTTTTTTGTTTTTTCGAGACAGGGTTTCTCTGTGTAGCTTTGCGCCTTTTCCTGGAACTCACTTGGTAGTCCAGGCTGGCCTGGAACTCACAGAGATCCGCCTGCCTCTGCCTCCCGAGTGCTGGGATTAAAGGCGTGCGCCACCACCCGCCCGGCTTTATTATAAATCTTAAAGAACACATTTTCATTTGTGTTGTGGAATAGTTTCCTTAACCTGAAAATGCTTTGATTGGTTATCAAGTGTGGTGGCACCCACCTGCAGTCCCAGCATTGTGAGGTGGAAGCAGAACCATGGGGCCAGAGAGATGGCTCAGTGGTTAAGAGTTGTTCTTCTGAGTGTACCAGGCTCTGCTGACTCCCACGGGAGGCCTTGCCTTGGGGGAGGGGGGAGCCTGGGGGCGGGAGGAAGGAGGGGAGGGGGACCTGTGGTTGATATTAAAATGAATAGAAAGTTTCTTTTTTTTTTTAAACAGGTTTTTTTTTTTTTTTTTAAAGATTTATTTATTTATTGTGTATACAGCATGTATGACTGCAGGTCAGAAGAGGGCACCAGATCATTACAGGTGGTTGTGAGCCACCATGTGGTTGCTGGGAATTGAACTCAGGACCTCTGCAAGAGCAGTCAGTGCTCTTAACCTCTGAGCCATCTCTCCAGCCCCGAATAGAAAGTTTCTTAATAATTAAAAAAAAGAGTGGTTGTTCTTCCAGGGAACCCAGGTTCATTTCCCAGCACCCACATGGCAGCTCACAATTGCCTGTAACTCCGGTTCCAGAGTACCCAATGCCCTCTTCTGGCCTCTGCAGGAGCTCACACACAACTACACAGACTACTCACAAGCAAAATACCCATACACATAAGATACAAGTAAATGAATGGATAAATAAAGAAATAAGAGAGCCAGGGGTTTAAGGTGTTCCACAGCTACTTAGCAAGTTTAAGGCCAGCTTGGGATGCTTGATACCTTCACTGAAAAATGAAAAGATTTTAAAAGCTGTGGTTATGTAATTCTATGAGTATTCAAATGACAGATTCGTGGGGTTGGAGAGTTGGCTCAGTAGTTAAGAGAACATGCTATTCTTGCAGGGGACTTAGGTTCAAGTCTCATGGCACTTTAACAGCTGTCTGTAAACTCCAGGTCCAGGGGATCCATTGCCCCCTGCTGGCCTCTGCAGGTACTGCAGGCATGTAATACACATGCATACAGGCAAAACACTGACACACAAAGTATTTTTAATTTGTTAAAAGACGAATTCAAGAAACTGTTCTTAAGCCTGTAGAACTGGGGTGTCTGAACTCTGTGAGGACCTCTTCCTATTTCTTGAAGTTTCAGAATGGCTGATGGGGGGGTTGGGGAAATATGCATGGTTAACTGTGGCATTGCCAAAGTCACTCAGTATGAGTCAGTATACATGGAGAAATCATTTTAATTTCTACATTCTAACCACAGTAATTCAAAAATTAAAGGCAAGGCCTGGAGAGATGGCTCAGCAGTTAGAGCATCTGTTGTTTTAGATAGGGCCTGAGTTCAGTTCCAAGCACTCAACATGATAGCTCCCAGCTGTCTCTGACTCCCATTTTAGGTGATCTAGGGTCCTCTTCTGAGAGTGCTATACACATGCATGCATGCAGACAAAATGTTCATACACATGAAATAAAATAAATCTTTTTTTTTTCTTTTTGAATGCCGAATACCGTTTATTAAAGGAGGGAGGAGGTCTTAAATACAGGCTTACAGCACAATGGGAGAACCCCGGAGGGCAGAAGTTTGCTACTGATGTTTTACAATCTTGTATCTAAGCTGTTGACGCCTATTATACAGGATACACAGACAAGGAACTTTCCTTAAGCATTCAGGAGGGTGGAACCCGGCAGGGAATTAGCATAGGGAGGATATCAAGGTCAAGGTCAGCAATCAAGGCAACAGTTACCCAAAATGGGAGCCAGGGCCCTACTGGTCCCCCCTTTTACTGAAAAATGAGCTTCTGACTTAGATTGCGTGGGACATCAGCAGGTCACCTTACCCGTCATGGAGACACCTGCCCAGGCCAAACAGGCGCTCTGTCTTAGGTTGGTGAGCGTCCCCCAGGTATTACCCATCTCTGAATACTCATTATCATACAGGATCAGTCATGTGTCAGCTACAGAGTTAACTGCTGCCAAAGATCTCAAAGGGGCACTGGGCTTGCAATCTGTGTGTTCTACACAGAAAAGACCAACAGAAGTCCTAACCCACCCATAGCCAGTAGGCTAAAGGCAACTGAGCCATTCCCTTCCTTAACGAGCCTTATTGCAAATTGTAATCCTTGTAAGATGGATTATCCCAAAAGCAAATGGAATTTGAGTTTATAAATTTATAATTTTCAAAGCCAATCAAAATGTATATAACTATTGAATTAAATTTATCATGCCCAATAGAATGAAAGATTAACTAACTGTGGTAGCTACTTTTGCTGCCAGGGTCTCCACTGTGCTAGCTGTAGTAAGCAATTATGAAATGGCAATCCCAGAAACAGTAGCAGTGGTGGCCGCCACTGCTATAACAGCAGCAATGGCAGCAGCAATGTCAAATTCTCTTCTGAAGCGTGTGGGCATCCACTGGCATGGACACAACTCCAGGAACACGAACCGCCAAGGCCCATTTTTCTTGATCCCAGCACGACTTAAACTGGCAGCTCTGCAAAAGAACAACCAAGAACCGTAAAGAAAAAACAGGCAGCTCAAAACAAATCTTAAAAAATAAAATTAAAACATTTTATAAGGAATGATAGCTCACCTTGGTAACACCAGCATTCAGAAGGCTGAGACATGAAGACTGGCAAGTTCAAGGCCAGTCTGGGCTACATAGCAAGACCCTTTCTCCATAACTAAAAAGGAGGAGGGAGGGAGGACTCAACATACAAATATCAGTTAATAAGAGAGGGGAAGATGGGGCAGAACAACGGTTTGGGGCCATTGTTTGGTGTAGTGGGTGAGGATGCTTTCCCCCAAGTCTGAGGGACCTGAGTTTGAGCCCCAGGAGAGAACCCATTTCCACAAGTGTCCTCTGACCTCCCATGTGCCATGATACGTGTATAAAGAGTAGAAAGCGGTGTTAGATTTGTAGGAACAGCCCTAAACATTTCAAGAGAAATTAAGAGGAGATAAATGGAAATGTATATTATAGTTCAGAGTGCAAACACCTAAAATAAAATGGTCAAAGTCAAACATGGTGGTATACCCCTATAACCTCAGCATTCTGGGAGCAAAGACTGGCCCTGACCTTCAGTGAGACAGTCAAGAGGTAATGTATTAATCAGGTTTTTCAATAACAGAACAATCTTGAACAAAACGAGGAAAACTTAAGGAAGCAGATATGAATACCAAGGAGCCTCCGCCTTTGAAATAATTCGAAGATTAAAGAGACTCATGGAACACAAAAGAACACCTATGATACTGTCCACGGGGGAGGGGTGGTCTTTTCTTTGACTAGCATGAGAAGTGTCTGAAAGCAGGAAAGATCCTGCTTTACATCAAAGGTAACAACTAATTTGAGGTAGACTATAAACCCAAATGTGAAAGGTTTAGAAACTTTTTTTTTTCTGGAAGAAAATGTGAGACACAGGATGTAGGAACAATGTCAGACTTTATTATGGGGACCTTGCTCCATCCGAGAATATTAAAAGAGCAAAAAGTCCAGCCATAGACCATTCAAAATCAGTGTGAAAATCACGATAAACACTTCACAGAAGAGGGCATCCAGATAGCACAAAGCCTGTGAGAATTATTCAGCGTTATTGTTTATGAAGGAAATACAAATTAAAATCCTAGTAACAATGCAGAATCACCAGGAATTCAAGTTTTCACAATACAGAGGCTGCCAGGGACATAAAACAGTGGGCACCTGGGTTGGCTGTAGTGGAGCTACAAAATGATACAAGCTTTTTGGAAACCAGTGAGCAGTTTTTAATAAAATTAAACAATATGCATCCTGTGTTCTAGGGGATCCACTTGTGGGAAAGATTGCAAATGTCTGTCAAGAAACATGGAAGACCCATGTTCATAATAACTATAGTGGTGCTGACTGAAAGTGTGTGGTGTGACTCCACCTCGAACCAGGCTTGTCAGGGAGGAACTGACAAGCTTGAGGGACCCTGATAGAAACAGGCAGGGTGATTGGAGTGATGGATTGGAGTGTAGGACTAGGAAACATTTATCAGATAATGCTTACTGGATGCCAGTTATATGTCAGTGAAAAAGAGAGGAGAGATACTGTCGTGTAAGACTGTGGACAGTACTGAGTGGGAAAATAGCGATAAATGCTTTTTGTGGCGGTGTACAGGACAGACATCAGTCTAGAGAGACGGCTCAGCTGTTGAAAAGCAAGCCAAGCGAGCACTGCTCTTGCAGAGAACCTGAGTTTGGTTCCCAGCACTCACAGTGGGTTGCTCATAGCCCCCCATAACTGCTGCTTCTGGGGATCCAATGCCCTCTTCTGATGACCTCAGGCACCTGCATTCAAGTGCGCATGCCCCACAGACACACACACACACACACACACACACACACACGCACACACACACACGCACACACGCACACACTCACACACGCACATACCCACCCTGGTGTACTTATATAAGTAAAGACCATCCGAGAAAGCCAAGGCAGAGAAGCCGTGCCAGCACAAGAACCATGGCAGCATGGGTTTTTGATTAAAGAAGACTAAGGAAAGAAAGGCATGTCCCCTGAGACATTAATGTTTATGTAGTAGAGTTAAAACAGTTTGAATATCTCCTGTCAAAGACAGAAGTGTTGTGAATTTTGTGGTGTTTACATAAATATGTAAGCGTATGCATGGAAATAAATGTGTAATGAAATAACTCAAATCTAAAGAATTTAATTTATGCCTCATATACACCTTAAGACATGTAACCTGAAGATAATTTTATATGATATTTTTGACTAATTTTGTATGCATTATAGCCAGATGTATTGGCTCACACCTGTAATTGCAGTACTTCAGAGGCTGAAGCAGGAGGGTTTGTGTGAGTTCCAGGACAGCTGGACCACAGAGGAAACTCTGGGCCAACCTGGCTAATGAGACCCTGTCTCAAAATACCAAAAATAATATATAATAGTAACAGTTTTATATACATGAACAGTCTCACCTGTGCGGGAGCATGTTGGCATCTGAGCAGCTTTGGTTGTTGAGATGCTTCAAATCGAGGATATTCATTTGGCCTATGGTGTTGAAAGCCAGATACAGTTAACTTGAAAGTCGCCAAGCACAAAAGATCTGCTGTGTACTCTCTGTCCTGTGTCTCAGAATAGGTTAGTAAGCTTAGCTGGAAAGATGACACCAGATAACATACTGTGTGCTAATCTCAGTCCAGAGCAGTGTGGTGTGATGGGTGGTCCACCGAGAGTTGCCCACCCCGAGACCTAAGCCGACCGTCTCTGTGTGCTGAGACTGAGGACAGGAGCCATCTGGGTCCCTTGTGTCCGCACACCTTAGTTGGCAGGGCCCTCAACCGAGGACAGTTGTTTGGCTGGCACAGCTAGCCCCCGACAGTCTTTGTTGATCTTCCTTTGTAGTGAAGACCGAACCCGAAACTCCTGCACCAAACTGCCTCTCCCAGGAGGGCCAGACAGCAGTGAAAACTGAAGAGAGCTCTGAGCTGAGCACCTACGTCATTAAGTAAGTGGTCTCTTCTGAGGGGGCTCTGCTTTGGATGTCTCTGTGACGCTTTCTCAAAATCACCGTGACAGCCCGAGTGTGTGTGGACATTGTGAGTTAAGCCTCTGGGGGTGGGAGGCAGTGTCCTTGCAGGGCTGAAGAGTTTATTTTTTAAGTGTATGAGTATTTTGTCTGCACGCATGTCTGTGCACTTCTTGTGAACCTGGTGTCCAAAGAGGCCAGAAGGTGTCAGATCCCCTGAGACTTTCATTTCAGATAGTTGTGAACCACCATGTCAGTGCTGGGAATTGAACTTGGATCCTCAGGAAGAGCAGCCAGTGCTCTTAATTAGCCACTGAGCCATCTTCCCAGCCTCTGAAGAGTTACAGAGTGATAACAGTGATACAGCTTAGGGGTAGCACTTGACCAGTCGTCATGGAGGCCCCAGAACTCACTTGAGCTTGCTGATGTACTGGCGAGTGGGGATAGCATACTCAAGTGCATTCAGCCCATGTTTGCATTTTTTTTTCCTGCCTGTGCTCCGAAGCTGCCTCTGCAGAGCCATGTGCCTCTTGCTTCCTCTGAAGGTACTTCATTAGGTTTTACATTTCCAAATTAGGAACCTCCCTCTGACCGTGCACTTTGAATTGCCAGGAACCTCTAGAGACATAGAAACATGGTGTCTCTTAACGTGACAGATGGAGGCATCAATCAGTAACCCTGAGACAGGCATGTGTGTAATAGCAGTCACCTTGCAGAGAGATTCTTGCTGATTTTCAAATGTAGATAAAATGTCTGGGATAGTTGTATAATTTGCCAAAATCTGTTTGTTCTTGACATTTCTGTTTAAACATAAAATGCTTTATAAAGAAGATCTGGAACCTTTTATGGTGGTTCACAGCCATAATCCCATCATTGGGTGTGTGGGGAGGGTGCATCAGTAGGAAGATCAGGAATTTATGAGCATCTGCAAATTTGAGGCCATCCAGGGCTACATGAGACCCTGTCTTTAAAAACGAAGGAAGCAGAGGGAACGTGTGTATGTGTGTGTGTGTGTGTGTGTGTGTGTGTGTGTGTGTGTGTGTGTGTGTGTTCAACAAGCCTGTACAATTTAGTGCCATTGTTAACTTCTCAGGTTTGAGCATTTGGGGTGTGTTTGTGCGTGTGTATTTGTGCGTGTGTGTGTGTGTGTGTGCACACCTGTGACAAGTGCACACAGTTTATTATTGCCTTTGTTCCCTTCGCAGGGTAGACCATTTGGAGACCATCCAGCAGCTCTTGACAGCAGTAGTCAAGAAGATTCCGTTAATTACCTCGAAAGGTAAGACAGTTGTTCTCAGCCTGTACGTGTGTTTTGTTAAACCGAACTCCTTGGGGTGTTGCAGTGATTGTGACTTTTAGCTGGCCCCCTGCAGGAGTCTTGGATTCACAGTGTCTTGGTCACATCTGCCTCACTGCTCAGCCACTTTACACTGACCCCTGTAGTCTTCAGTCACTTAGGGTCTGATCAGCAGAAGGGACTTTTTACATTTGTTTTCATATGTAAGTTATGAATATTAAAACATGCACGATTAAGGCATAGTGTGCCAGGCCCGCCGTCTGCTGTGGGTTCTTTACATACGCATTTCACTAGCCAGTCTGGTGTGGTAGTGTCACCTCCTGCTCACAGGAAACGGCGGTGAGGCAGGGTTAATTAATTCACACAGCTCTGGGTGACAAGGCGGGTACACGCCCAGCTCTGTGAGACTTTTAGACCGCTAATCTTTCTCTAAAATTTAAGATCACGCACTGTTTGGAAATACATAATTTTCAAGCCATCCGAAAGCAAAGTCCTCTCTGTATCTCAGTGGGATGAATGGCTTATGTGGTTATTATCTGAGTTGTTCCAACAGCATAGACAATACTTACTAAGGGGACAGGTGTTTGCTCAGGGATGAGGTCACCATTGAGTCAACAGGGAGGTGTGCAGCGGTCACTGCCACTCACATCATGTGGTATTAAATGAGAGGCTGAGCACTGACCACCTGCCTTATTTTTTCCACCTATGGAGGCAAAGAAATGCTGGGCCTTGTGGTACAAGTTTGTGACCTCAACTCTTGGTGGGGACCCTGGAGAGCAACCTTGAGTTTACGGCCTGCCTAGAACTTAGTAAGACCCTGCCTCAGGTTTTTAAAACTAAAAGAGGGATTGGGGTGGAGCTCCATGGTAGAACTTTCATGTACAGGGTCCTGGGTTAGATCTCCAGCATTGACCCTTAAGATGAAATATTATCTCCTTTTTTCCTTTGAACTTCAGAGAAGTTTGGGAATCGTTTTTGAGGTAGTTAAAAATGTACTTTCAATGATGGTTTTCCACCCTAGTAGAAAAGATTTGAAGATGTGAGTCTCAGACTTGCACACACCCACTACCATGTGTGTGTGTGTGAGTGTGTGTGTGTGTGTGTGTGTGTGTGTTTCCCTCCCCTCCTTCTGTCCACTTACATAAAAACACAGAATGTTGGAGCTAGAACTGGACAGTTTAAGACCATCTTTCATAGTTTACAGGGAAGAACACCGAAGTCGAGATGTCCTGTGTGGCTTACCCTGGGCTGTTTAGTCAGCTGACGGCCAGGCAAGGCCCCCAGTTGGCACCCTGCACGATTATATCTGTCATGGAGGTGTGTTCAGTGAGAAACACTTGTCACATGAAGAAACTGGGGAGCTAGTGAGATGGCCCAGTGGATAAAAGCTCTTGAGGTGCCTGGAACCCCATAAAAAGCCAGATGGCAGGGCCAGGTACGTTGGTGCATACCTTAATAAGGAGGCAGACAGACCTCAAAGTGTGAGGCCAGCCAGGACTACATCGACCCTGTATCAAAAAAATAAATAAAAGTATAAAAATTAACCAGTCCATAGCAGAAATAAGCCAGATGACAGTAGCACTCACATCTGTAATGCTGGTGCATCCTTACTGGAAAATGGGAGACAGCCACAAGTGAATTGGCCAGAAACTTGTGGCCAGCCCCCCTGGAGTCCACAGCTTAGCAGAAATGGGGGTCTCAATAAGGTAGAAGAAGAGAACAGATCCACCACTCCCCGGGAGGTCATTCACATGGCACAGAAACACCCACACCTGCACACAGGCATCACACACGCAGAGTAATAAAAATGTTCTGTTTTAGAAAAGAAATAAAGGAGCTGCGCTGTGGTTGTGCACACCTTTATTTTATTTTATTTTTTTTTTTTATTATGTATATAGTGTCCTGCCTGCATGTATGCCTGCAGGCCAGAAGAGGGCACCAGATCTCATTACAGATGGTTGTGAGCCACCATATGGTTGCTGGGAATTGAACTCAGGACCTCTGGAAGAGCAGCCAGTGCTCTTAACCTCTGAGCCATCTCTCCAGCCCCTGTGCACACCTTTAATCCCAGCACTCAGGAGACAGAGACACTCGATTTTCTGAGTTTGAGGCCATCCTGGTCCAGGACTGCCAGGGCTATATAGAGAAACCGTATCTCGAAAACCCTTAAAAAAAAAAAAAAAAAAAAGGAAATGTAGGAACTTGGGGAGCTACCTCCAATAGTTGTGTGTGGGGGTTGTTTGTTTGTTTTGTTTTTTTTAAACACTCTGCTCTTTGCAAGGTCTACCACCCAGCTCCCAAATAAATACTTGGAGGCTTCTTCTTACATATGAACGCCCAGCCTTAGCTTGGCTTGTTTCTAGCCAGCTTTCCCTTTTTCATTTTTTAAAGTTTGTTTTATTTAACATTTTTTTCACTTATTTTATATACCGACCATAGTTTCCCCCACCCTCCCCCCACCCTCCCCTCTCCCCCTCCATACATTCCTCTTCTGTCACCAGAAAGGGGCAGGCCTTTCCTGGGTGTGAACGAAGCATGGCACATCAGGTTGAGGTAGGACCAAGTGCCTCCCCCTGCACAAAGGCTGGGCAGGGTAATCCAGCATGGCAAATAGGTTCCCAAAAGCCAGCTAAGCGCCAGGGACAGGTCCTGATCTCACTGCTAGGAGCCTTACAAACAGACCAAGCTACACAACTGTCACACACATGCAGAGGGCCTAGGTTGATCCCATGCAGGCTCCCTAATTGTTGGTCCAGAGTCCATGAGTTCCCAGGAGCTTAGGTTAGCTGTCTCTGTGGGTTCCCCTGTCATGACCTTGACACACACACCCCGTTACAATCCCCCTCACTTCCTTCAGTAGGACTCCTAGCCAGCAGAGTCCCAGTGATGGGCTGTGGATCTCTGCATCTGCTTCCATTGGTTACTGGTAAAGGCTTTCTGAGACAATTAGGGTAGTCAACAATCTGACTACAGGAGAAGGCCAGTTCAGGCACCCTCTCCATTATTGCTAGGAGTCTTAGCTGGGGGTCATCCTTGTGAATTCCTGGGGTTTCCCTGGCACCAGGTTTCTCCCTGACCCTGAAACCCCCCCATCAAGATGTCTCTTTCATTACTCTTCCTCTCCATCCTACCCCCAACCCGCCTCCCGCACCCAGCCCTGCCCAATCTGCTCCCTCCAGTTCCCATCCCCTACCCCCCTACCCCTGCCCCCAGTTTACCCAGGAGATCTTTTTTATTTCTCCTTCCTAGGGAAATCCATGCATCCCTCTTTGGGCCCTCCATGTTATCTAGCCTCTCTGGGGCTGTGGTTTGTAGGTTGGTTATCCTATACTTTATTCCTAATGAGTGAGTACTTAGCATGTTTATCTTTCTGGGTCTGGGTTATCTCACTCAGAATCATTTTTTCTAGGTCCATCCATTTGCCTGCAAATTTCATGGTGTCATTGTTTTTTACAGCTGAGTAGTACTCCATTGTGTAAATGAACCACATTTTCCTTATCCATTCTCCAGTTGAGGGGCATCTAGGTTGTTTCCAGGTTCTTAGCCAGCTTTTCTAAATTATCCCATCTACCTCTTGCCTCTGGGCTTTTATCTTTCCCTATTCTACATACCTTTCTTTCTTTCTTTCTTACTCTGGCTGACTGTGTAGCTGGGTGGCTGTCCCTGATGTCCCCTCTCCTCCTTTTGCTCCCTGATCCTCTCTTCCTAAATTTCTCCTCTTTATCCTCTCTGCCCGCCAGCTGCACTTACCCTTTCTCCTGCCTCGCTATTGGCTGTTCAACTCTTTTTTTTTTAGACCGATCGGGTGTTTTAGGCAGGCAAAGTAACCCAGCTTCGCAGAGTTAAACAAATGCAACATAAAAGAACGCAACACATCTTTGCATCATTAAACAAATGTTCCACAGTGTAAACAAATGTAACACATCCGCAACTAATATTCCACGACAACCTCCAATAAACAAAACTGGTCTGAACCACAGCAACCTTTCTTCAGAGTCTGTGGGTCTGTTCCAGGTGACGATGCCAGCTGCTTTTCTGCAAAGTCTGTGGAGCAGTATTACGGCTGGAACATTGGGAAGAGGAGAGCTGCTGAGGTAAGGCCGTTTGCCGGCTGGAGACAGCACGCAAAGGTCAGCATCTGTGTGCTCTACCTGAAGGACAAATGAGACAAATTTGCCTTGTATTTCTTTAAGGTACTTGATGGTAGAATGTTTCTCAGTCACAAATGTCATTCTCTGTATCTCAGATACTTTTGGAAAGGCCTGCTCTCCTGTACCGGGGGAAGCATCTCGTGTTTTCTTTGAAAATGTTATATATTCCAGGGTGGGAGAGACGGCTCGACAGCACGATGGCTGCTCTCACAGAGGACTTGGGTTCATTTCCCAGCATCCTCATGGCAGCTCACGGTGGTCTGTAACTCCATTTCCAAGAGACCCAGTGTCCTTTTCTGGCCTCTTCAGATACCAGGCATGCAAATGGTACACACACATGCACATAAAGTTAAATTTTTTAAATTTGCAAATTTCAAAATAGTAATAAATTCAGATTTTTTTTTTTTTTTTTTTTTTTTTTGGTTTTTCGAGACAGGGTTTCTCTGTGTAGCTTTGCGCCTTTCCTGGGACTCACTTGGTAGCCCAGGCTGGCCTCGAACTCACAGAGATCCGCCTGGCTCTGCCTCCCGAGTGTAAATTCAGATTTTTATGGTGTACTTACAACAGTGTTGCCAGGTACAGTTGAATCATGAGAAATGAAAGGGGACCGCGTGCGTGTGCAGTGTGGCTAGGCAACAGTGCAAGATGGGTCATTGTGATTGGTCAGAGAAAATGAAAGGTTGGTTCATGACCCAGTGAAAGGTTGTAAATAGAAACCTAGGAGTTTCTCTTGTATTTTGTAAACATATAATAGAGACCAATAGAGATGTAAATTGTTACTGTGTGTGTAGGTGTGCATGTGCGTACACACACACACCACCACACACTGGTGAAGACTGGAGGACATAGGGAGTCAGTCATCTAACTTCTGCCATTCGGGTCCTGGGGACCAAGTTCAGTCATCTGACTTGGTGGCAGGCACCTTTCCTGAGCGTCTCGCTGGTCCCCAGAGAAGCTCTTTCAGATGCCCTCCCTTTGTCACTACAGAGGGATGGAATCTGACTCTTCAGTTGCTCCGTTTATTTTACTGCATAGTGATTGGTTTTAAAATTTAATGATTTAATTTTGGTTGAAAACCTTTTTAAGTGGCAAAGAGCAATGACAGTACGGAAAGTGTTACAAGAGATCCTGGAGAAGAACCCAAGGTTCCACCACCTGACGCCCCTAAAAACCAAGCACATTGCTCACTGGTGCCGCTGCCATGGCTACACCCCACCAGACCCTGAGAGCCTGCGTCATGACGGGGCCTCCATTGAGGATGTGCTGACCCAGATCGACAGTGAACCAGGTGAGCCTTCGTGGGCTGCTCCTGTTCAGTGTGCCCGCCCCCTCGGCCCTCCAGCTCACCTGTAGGCTGCGGTGTGCTTCCCTTCAGTTAGCGGGGGCGAGGGAGAGCTGCTCTAGGTGACAAGACCCCAGACCACATGGCCCTTCAGAACTGTTTACACCCACGTGCTCAGCCAGGAATGTTCACTTCATGCCGTCTGGTAGCCACGTGCTCTTCCCGTCAGGCTCCTCAGCGTTACTTTGAAGACTCTTAACCCTCCCTCTTTCCCTCAGATAGAAGTGACTTCCCTTTCTGTGTGACCTTAGGAACCCCTGGTAGGGAAGTCTGCCTATTCCCATGAAGAAAGACCAGTCTCATCTCCTACGGCATGTAGTATCTCTGCTGAGAGAGTTTGTCAGCTTCTAGACCTAGGTCCTTGGTGAGCAGAGACCACATGATAACCTCCGGGTTTCACTGGTGCTCTGTATACAGCATGGCACATCACCGGCACCTGGAGTCAGTAAAGCAGAGAGCCAGGAGCTGGTGAGCTACCAGGAGCTGGTGAGCTACCAGGAGCTGGTGAGCTACCAGAAGCTGGTGAGCCACCACCATCGTGGTGTTCATAAAAGCCCACCTTGTACCTGCCTGGACCTCACATCCTCCTTCTTGTTACCATGTCAACAGTACTTCCCTCACAGCAATGAGGCAGGGATGATTTTTTTTGTTTTTTTTTTTTCTTAAGACATTTTATTTCTTTTTTTTTTTTTAAGATTTATTTATTATGTATGCACTGTTCTGCCTGCATGTATGCCTACACACCAGAAGAGGGCACCAGATCCCATTACAGATAGCAGTGAGCCATCATGTGGTTGCTGGGAATTGAACTCAGGACCTCTGGAAGAGCAGTGGGTGCTCTTAACCTCTGAGCCATCTCTCCAGCCCAAGACAGGGATGATTTTTTAAGTCAAATTTCTCAGGTAGTCCAGGCTGGCCCTGAACTCACTGTGTAGCTACAGATGGACTTGTACTTCTGATCCTCCAGCCTCTACCTCCACGGGGCGGTTCTGGAATTACAGGCATGTGCCACCACACTCAGTGCAGTACTGGTAATTAGACCTGGGACTTCCTGATCCCAGGACCTCCTGCTTGCTAGGCAGGCACTCTGACTAGCTGGTACATCCCCTGCCTGAATAGGAATGACTTTATGTTCTTCATTGTTGTTCAGGTTTCTACGGCCCCACATTGGAACGTCAAAATGTTGTTGGTTGTTTTTGCTCTTTGGGGGAGCCCACTACCCAGCTCTCAAATAAATCACACACAGGGGCTCACTCTTAACTATAAATGCCTGGCCTTAGCTTGTTTCTTGCCAGCTTTTAACTTTGATTTATCCCATCTACCTTTTGCCTCAGGGCTTTTATCTTTCTCTAGTCCTGTATACCTTTTCTTTCCTTCTTATTCCGGGTCTGGCTGGGTGCCTGGGTGGCTGACCCCTGAAGCCCTCCTCCTTCCTCTCTTGTTCCCAGATCTTTCTTCCTTTTTTTCCCCAGATTTCTCCTTCCATCTGTCCTCTCTGCCTGCCAGCCCTGCCTATCCTTTCTCCTGCCTTGTTATTGGCCATTCAGCTCTTTATTAGATCATCAGGTGTTTTAGACAGGCAAAATAACACAGCTTTACCAAGTTAAACAAATATAACACATCCTAAAATAATATTCTACAACTTTTTACTGTACATTTCTAAGTTTTCCAGATTTTAAAAAATGAATAAAATTAATTTATTGACTCAGGAAGTGTGGCAATGGCCTGGTTTCCAATGGAGTGAATTACGTACTATCTTTTTGGCCTTAATGGCAGATAGAGTGCATTTAGAATAAGACGCCTGTCTGCATTTCTACTTCGTGAGGCTCTGGGTCTCGTGAGAGAGTCATAGAATTGGAACTGGAGAAAGGTTAGCGGCCTGCAGACTCTGCCTTAAGGGGTCCTGCAGAGAGTCGGAACCCAGACTGCTGCTTCTCCTTCAGAGTGCCTGTCGTCCTTCTCCACTGCCGACGACCTCTGCCGGAAGCTGGAGGATCTGCAGCAGTTTCAGAAAAGGGAGCCCGAGAACGAGGAAGAAGTGGATGTCCTCAGCTTGTCGGAGCCTCTGAAGATGAACATTAAAAAGGAGCAGGAAGAAAAGCAGGAAGAAATGAGATTCTACCTGCCGCCAACTCCAGGCTCGGGGTTTGTTGGTGACATTACGCAGAAGGTAGGAGGCCAGGGCTGTGGTGCTGTCTGCTCACAGGCCAGGTGCGTAGGGTCCAGACACCCCACCTCAGGAGCTCAGACAGCAGTCTGCCTGGGTGATGTGTGATTGGCTTCTGCCCAGAACTTACGTGTGTTTCCACTCTCCCATGTCAGAGCCTTCTGCAAGAGCCGTAAGTGCATAGGGAAAAGGCTGCGTGTTGAACATGGCTGTGCGGCAGAGGGCTAGACACAGGCTTTGTCCCGGGTTCTTTCCTCGTCTGGCTCAGGACACGCGCTTCTCCTTCATGGGGCATACAGTATTTCAGTCCCTGCCTGGGCAAGCAGTCTCCTCACAGCTGTGCTGCAATTGGGGAGCACACCTCCCTCGTTACCTGGGAAAGGACTCAGCCCCATGACACTGGCAGCTTTAAGTATTGCTTGCACTATTCTGAATTCTTCAGAGATTCCAGTCATGTTGTTCCATGATAAGAGGTTTGGGGGCGAAAGCGGGATTCCATGTTCAGAGTGGTTAGCGGAGCCCTCCTCCCAGCCAGCTGCTGATGTTGACGGAGCTAATGGCTTTCTTCCCCTCCTCCAGATCGGGATCACCCTGCAGCCCGTGGCACTGCACAGGAACATGTATGCCTCGGTGGTGGAGGACATGATCCTAAAGGTGGGTGCCTGCCTGGTGACGGCAGGGGGACCTGTGTTCGAGGCCGGCCAGGTTGGGTTCTCGAACCCGTGAGTGAGGGACAGCAGGGGAGCAGAGAGGACGGCTTTGAAATCCCTCATCTTCCTTAGGCTTTAAGTTTCCTTTCTTTTCTGTTTTTCCTCCTCCTACTTAGGTAAACTAAGTCATGTCCCTCTAAGAGCTGAGGGTTTGTTGTTGTGTTGAGGGTAGACCCCGGGCTCGTGCGTGCCAGCCAGGTGGTCTTCCCCAAGGCCCCGGGCTCCCACGGGTGTCTGTGCCTCTTTAGTGCCATTTCTTATTCTCATTAAGAAGTGTCCCAGCGGCTGGAGAGATGGCTCAGAGGTTAAGAGGTCATGAGTTCAATTCCTGACAACCACATGGCAGCTCACAGCCATCTATGGTGGGATCTAGTGCCCTCTTCTGGCATAAAGTTGAACGTGCAGATAAAGTGCCATATACATAAAACAGATAAAATAGATAAAATCTTTTTTAAAATTATTTAAGAGAAGTATCCTAGTGTGAGAAGTATCCGTGCTCTTTTTAGAGAGGGGAAGAGGCCTTGGGTTTTCCTGCCTGTGACAACAGAGAAGCAGCCACAACCGTCCTGTCCCTGGGCAAAGGGTGAGAAAAGGGACAGCTTCCACGCCTGCCTGGTCCTTACCTCAGCAGTTCTCCATTCCGCATCCCTCCAAGAGGAGGCTTCACTAGCAGCCCTCACTCAACACTCTGTTTTCCTTAGAAAACAATGTCTGGTTAATGAAAACCACTTCATCCAATAATTTCCCTGCATCATGGCCTCTGAACAAAAGTTCAGGTTTCCTGAGACCTTTGTAATACTGAGTTGGCAGTTATTTCAGAAGTTAGGTAAAAGATGAGGTCGGCTGCATCCCTCCCACTAGCCAGCAGGGGGCTCTTTTGTCAATACCAGTCTTCTGTTGTAGGCCACGGAGCAGCTGGTGAGTGACATCCTGAGACAGGCGCTGGCAGTTGGATACCAGACAGCATCTCCCAACAGGTACTGTTGCCCGGCTGACAGCAACAGGCTTTGCAGTTTAGGCACTCTCGAAGAGGTTTTATTTTACTCAGAATGTAGTGTAGTAGGAGATAGAGTTGCCGTGCTTGGGACATTAGCAGACTGAGGTCCGTTCTGTAGTTCTGAGCGAGTCTCTTGGTGGAAAGTCCAGCTGTGCCCTCTCGGCCATTGCTTCATAGACACCCAGGTCTGTTGTGTCACGGGATAGAGCGGGCAGCAGGTTCTCCATAAAGACAGTAACCTCTCGAGTGGCAGACTCTAGGATCGAGTTGATAAATACTACCTACGGTGTTTTGTCATTGCAGACACATTATTTCTCTTAGGAACTGGGAAACTGAGCTCTGAAAGGGAGTCGTCTCCAGTGTCCCAGATCACGGGCCCTAGATTGAGACTCATCTCACTGGCTGGGGACCCTGGAGCTCACTGCTACTTCTCTCCTGGTACATTCATCTCTTGAGTGGGATGTAGAGTTCCCTGGCCTTAAAAAAACGATAGTCCACATCCTCTTCTCCTTCTAGTCTGCTGAAGGCCGTCATAAAATCCTACACTATAATATAGTACCTGCAGTGATGAGGTCCCAACTGAGGATATTAGGTCAAACATACATAGACAACATAGAGGTCTTCAGTTTGAAAAAAAAAAAAAGAACTGGGGATAAAAATTTCCAGACCTGCTCCCCATTGCCCTGCTTGGAAAGCAGGAGGAGCCATGTTTTCCATGTTCCTGACTGGAGATGTGGCAGCCTGGGTGGTTTGAATGAGAGCATGTACCTCACACTTGGCTGGCCAGGACTCTGCCTCCCGTCTTCTGAGATAAGAGACAGTCCCTATTTTCATGGTGCTCTGAAGCACACTTGAGTCTGCTGAGACTTAGAAGCACTTAGAAGACTTAAAAACATTCTCTTCTGCTGTCTACTTTACTCTCTTTCTTTTCTCTGCCGGCTAATCATTGAGCCAACATGAAGTCCTCATTGCTGTGACCAGGGGGTGAGGTTTGAGCCCTGGGTAGGACTGTAACTGGAGTTACGGCTTTCATCAGAAAGGAGAAGAATTCGTAAAAAGCGGGAGAGAATGGCCCTGAGTCATTGCATATAGCCTTTGCCGTCACCTCCTTCTCTAAGAGAATGGTCCCTTTAGTGAATTAACTGACTAAATTATTGATGAGTGCACTTGACAGAATACACTTAATTATACTTTCGGGGTTTTTTTTGGACTAGGGTTCCCAAAGAAATCACAGTGAGTAATATTCACCAGGCCATTTGCAACATTCCTTTTCTGGATTTTCTCACGAACAAGCACATGGGGAGACTGAACGAGGATCAGTGAAGACAGTGAAGATGATCCCCAAAAGCAGGATGGGGAGCCGTGTCTGAAGTATGCAAACCGTGGTGACCCTTGTGTTCGGAGAAAGGCGGTTCTCTGTGCGTTAGAATGCTCCGGCTACCATACCATTCCTTCCGTCTAACTGCGTGTTATCACGAGGGCACTGAGTCCCAGGGGCAGCCCTTTTAAGACTGTATTGTTTCCCAATTCTGGAGGGAAGCTGGATGGGCACAACTTTGTCAGCTTGCATTTCTTTACTCTGTACCGGCTCTGGAGGTGTCTGAATGTGAGACAAGGCATATACACAAGGTGCTCCCTCTTGGGAGTGGGCTTGGGTTCACCTGGGGCCCACTTTCCAGAAGGCGGAGATAAATCTGACACACTAGTCTGGGCTACTCTAAAGAAGAACAGAGAAAGCAAGTACCTTTTCCTACCTTGCCTCGGTGTGGCAGGGCTGCACTCTTGGCCAGTGTGAGTCAGCTACAGAAGGGGTAATATGCCATGTGGAAAACTAGACACCAAGGAGGCTGTAGCCTGAGACTTTTTCATGGAACCCCGATGCCCGTGCTTCTGTGACAGCCAGAGTCAAAGCGTTGAGGTTCCCAGCAGAGATCAGAAGGCATCGATCCTGTGCCCGTGTAACCCAGGAGACTATCACTGTTAGTGTAAGCATGATCCAGAGTCCGGCACTTGGCCTGCAGAGGTCTCGGCACTGGGTCCTCATAGCCCAGTGGGCTGCCGAAGCTCCTGTTGTCCGGGGGCTGGGGAGGCAAACCTTCCGGGGGTGTCCTCAGTGGACCTGAGGTCCTGTCCTCTGCCAAAGAGTTCTGCCGTGATGACAAGGGTTGAAACACCTGTGAGTGCCTTTCTTGCGAGAACTGCTCTTACCCGGTGTGCCAGCGCTCGGGAGGGAGCAGAGCCGCTCCCTGAGGGGCAGATAGGCTGTTGGTAGCGCCAGCACAGATTGCAGGCACTGGGGACTCTCCAGTCCTCCTAACTATTGTGGGCAAATGGAAGACCTTAGTTTCAATTGGAACCTTCTCACTCTGCTCAAAGCAAACTTGGAAGGTCTGAGTCAGAGTCAGCAAAAAGCCTGTTCTCCCAGGCCCCGCAGGTGGGTGTGTGAGCCAGGACACAGAGCGGGCTGCAGGTACAGAAGAAGGGTTCCAGAAGAAGGGTTCCTCCCAGCAGGGATAGGGCGAGCGTGGCTTACGGTAGAGGTGGTATATAAGGCTTAAGAATTGGGTCTGTAGGCCACACCACAGATCAGTAGGCCCACACACAGATTTGTTCAGAAGTGGACAGACACCTGCGAGGTAGAATATCCATATGAGAACAGATTGATTTGTTGTGATAAAAACCTAAAGAAATTGCTTTTTGCTAAAGAAATATCAAGTGATTTAAGAGTCTCCATGTATGTTAATGTTTCAAGTGTTTTTCTATCGTAATGTGTAACATAATTGTGTATCATTTTGTCTACAATAAAACTTTTAGTATTTGTGATGGGTTTTCTGAGCTGGAAGCGCCATACTTAGATGGGCTCATTGGGATGCAGCCGTGGTGTGGGTCTTTGTGAGTTTAAATTACTCTCTCTCCTTCCATCAGAAAAGAATCTGCAATCGTGTAATGTAAAAGGACCACAGTTACATTCAGGTCACATACAAAACAAGACACTTCACTTGGTGACCATGGACATAATTATTTCATGCAAGCAATTTAGGGTAAAGGAAATGCATAAGTGGGTTCAATTTCTCAAAAACAAAAAAAGCAGAAAGTCTAATAAAGTAGTTTATCTGGTAAGGTAAAGTTGGCCTGTGCTGAGGTCCGAAATCCACTCCGGACACAGTCCTTTCATTCTCATCTGCTGTCGTGGGTTTCTAAAAAGTTACCAAAAGGCGGAGACAGTACAGAACCAGAGGTTCTGAAATCTGTGACTTTGGAAGGGGATTTCTGCGAGGAGGCGTGGGGATCCAGGCCACAGAGCTAGCTTGCTGGGAAGCATCTTCACAGAGTCAGAAAGCTGAACCCTGGAGGGTAAGGTTAGTGGGGGGCATAGGTCAGGATGGGTGCCGACAGCCCGTCCCTGGACCTCAGGTGGGTGGCATACCCCAGCCAACAGAAGCCTGGAGTCCTGGAGTTCTGTCCCGTACGGCACAGAGAGGTAAGGCCTTCCTTCAGCTGTGAAAGGACCTTCGGGGCTTTCGGTTGAGACACAGCAGACTGCGGCAGTTCCCAGATCGGTCACTGTGGTTATGGGGTAATCAATATTGAACACTCTTTGCTCAAATTCACAGATTAAACTACTTTATTTTTAAAAACTTACAGAATATAAAAATTATTAAATTGTATAGGAATTTTAAGCAGGTATGATAAAGTATTTTTAAAAATTAGGGCTGGAGAGATGGCTCAGTTGGTGGCGTGTGCAGTACCTGAGTTCAGTCACCAGAACCCACGTAAACAAGGCCGGCGTGGTGGTGTACACTTACTGTCCGAGCACTGGACAGGCAGAGAGGCAGGTCCCTTGAGGCCTGCTGTGGAGCTGGCTAGCCTACTTGGTGACCTTCAGACCAATGAGGAAAGAGAAAGATACCTGAAAAACACTTTGGGTTGTCTTCTGTCCTCTACATGTGTACCCGCACATACAGGAACACACACATGTACCCGCACATACAGGAACAGACACGCATGTATCCGCACATACAGGAACACACACATGTACCCGCACATAAAGGAACACACACATGTACCCGCACATACAGGAACACACACATGTACCCGCACATACAAGAACAGACATGCGTGTACCCGCACATACAGGAACACACATGTACCTGCACATACAGGAACACACACATACATACCCGCACGTACAGGAACACACAGATACCCAAACATACAATACACACATGTACCCAAACATACTGGAGCACACTTATACCTGCACAAACAGGAACACACACATATGAACCTGCCCATACAGGAACACACACATATGAACCTGCGCACACAGGAATGCACCAACAGCCACACATAAAGGAACACACGTTACCTGCACATACAGGAACACAGACACACGTACCTGCACATACTGGAACATACACACACTCCTCAGAGATGAGCCCTGCTGGTCCTCCAGTGCATTTCTCTGGTCTTGGTGCACATTGTGTAAGGGGAGTGGTCTCGGGTCTGGGAGAACACGGCTGACTCTGGTCTTGTTTGCTTCTTGGGTTGCTCATGGAGCTTTGTGGCCTTTCTCGGATCTGGAATGAGGAGGGACTTCTGAAGAGCAGAGGGCTGGTGGGAAGAGCTGTGTGGCACATTGCTGAGGTTCCGAACAACCTGTGACCTAGCAGAGGTCGGCTTCACTCCGTGGCCACTGTGGTGCTACAATGCCAGAAAGGGACAGGTGTGCTTCATGCTGGCCGAACGCAGCGGGGTCATGCATCTCTACACCAAGAGAACGAATGCACGGGGTTGTGGGGGCTTGCCGGGCATGTGGTGTGGTCATTGGCAGCACGCAGCCAGGAGCTCTGAGTTGGGGCCTGCCCATGGCTGCAGCAGGGACAGAGGCGCCGGGAAGAGAGTTAAGCAGGAAAGGACAATTGAGCCATGCTTGGCTGACTTGACTGTGCTGAGCATGGGATGTGCCTAGCAAGTCAGCAAGGTGTAGGCGACAGCAGCCTCCCTTTTAGACGCAGAAATGGAAGCTCCCATTGTCCCTGCAAGTGTGGAAGCAGCAGTGGTACAGATGGTCCCTTTCCCCACTTAAGGGTGCAGGAGAGCTGAGGTGGGCAGAAGGTGCCACCGGCCACGCTGGAGCCAGCTGCAGCCCTCTGCAAGAAGGGTGCGCAGATTGTAAGTGTCAAGGATATTCACGTCGTCACGCTCTGTTAAAGTCATTATTGAGAGACCAGATGAATGAGAAGGTACTTGAGTTTATAACTTAAGTTGCCCAGCACATTTTTGCATTTTAGTAAATTGTTAATCTGCTCACTGCCTACATTTAGGTGCCCAGCAGGCAGTCTCTTCCCTCTTAGGAACACTGAGCATGCACACTGGCAAATCTAGAGTAACAGGACCCTTGGTATATGCACATGGTTCCAGTTTTCCCTTCAGAATGACTCAACAGCATTTCCTCGGCCAGCAAGGGGGAGGCTGGGCCTGCTAGCACCTCTGAGGGGATGCTGTGTGGGAGGCCTGAGCTGCCTCCCCTGCCTTGGCTTTGAAGGGAACCCTTACAGTTCTTACCGAACAGTACCAAGCTTCTTAGACATAGTCCTTTCTAGTGTTTGAGAGGTGGATGTGCAAAGGGAATGGGCTTGTTCTACACAGCCATCCTGGCTGCGACCCATGAGAACAAGTTCTCCAAAGATGGAGCGAGTTTTCCCCACAGCGGGGTAGTGAGTACCTAACCAGAGTTGGGAAGCCAGCAGGCCGGAGCTAAAGGTCCCTGTAGGGGATGCTCTCCAGACATGCACCCAGCACCTCATGGGTGTGCATGGTAGTCCCTTCTAGTCCTTGTGTTGAGGGGAGACAACAGAAATTAGGACAGGGCTCAGCCTCTAGAAACATGGGGTGAATGCCATTCATGCTGTCAACATGTCACTCATCCTGTGGGAATTGTTTCCCTGAAACATGATCATCCTGGCTATAAAGAAATTACGTTTGAAATTGAAAACATGTGGATGATCTCCCTGGATAGATATCACCACTGGTGTGTGTGTGTGTGTATTCCACATATATATGGGATTTCTACTTGGATAAATAGCACCACCGTGAGAGTCATATGCAGGTGGTTTTATATATATTTAAACTTAAGGTTTTGTTATTGTTTTGAAACAGGGTCCCTCTATGTAGACCAGGCTGTCCTGGAACTTACTATGTACACCAGGCTGGCATTGAGCTCATAGACATAGAGATCTTCCTGCCTCTGCCTCTAAAGTGCTGGCATTGAAGGCATCAGTTCTGACAACCTAAGGGGTGTGTATGTGTGTGTGTGTGTGTGTGTGTGTGTGTATGTGTTGAGACAGGTTTTCTCTGTGTAGCCCTGGCTGTCATGGAACTAACTCTAGACCATATTGGCCTCAAGATCACAGAGATCTGCCTGCCTCTGCACCCACTGGGGTTAAAGGTATGTGCCCACCACTGCCTGGATAAGATTTCTTGATGTAAGCATGTGGGCCACTGCAGAAAGAGATGAGAAAACTACCTGGGCCTACCATAGGTTATCAAATAGAATTAACATGCATCTGGGGAAACCATCCAAAGTGGGTAGCTGGTCTGTCAAGGACTTGATAGATTTCTCAGTCTGGAGCAGTTTAGGTCACAGCTGAATTGATCCTCAGATTTAAAAATTGAAGGGTGCCAAATGGCAATTTAAACGTTCAAGTCTCCTTCCCCGTTGAGGAGGAGGGTGGAAGAGGCTGAGTGCAGCTGGTGGTGGTCTACCCGCCTGCCTCCACTCCACACCACAGCCAGGGCCGGCAGCCCTGGCTCCAGTCAGCAAAGGACCAAGTCGGGCCCCCTTTGGGGAGGTCTGGAGGTGTCCATCAGCTTTCCCAGCAGCCACGATCTCCACTGGTCTCCACTGGTCACACATTGAGAGTCCGGGGAGCTGATGTCTGAAAGATGGCTGAGGGATTGGGTGTGAATTTCCTCACCTCTGGAACCTGAAAAAGAAGTGTGGCCACATCAGTGGGCTCTTTCCTCCACCTGCCCCAACATTTGGCTCTGAGAAAAGAATGCCTTGGCAGTGGGAGTTAGCCAAGTGAGTTTTGTCACTTCTGTGGTGGGTCACACAGGGAACATGAACTCCCTTTGCCCTTTAGTTGGGGTAAAGATGCTAACCAGCCCTGCAGTCCTGGGAGGGAACCGCAAACCTCACATGTGGCATGCCTTTGTTGTACCACAGAGCTATGCCTAGGTCACTTAGGGTTCAAACCTCACATGTGGCATGCCTTTGTTGTACCACAGAGCTATGCCTAGGTCACTTAGGGTTTCGTATTTTTGCAGGGGGCAGGGCTGTGCTGAGGCTGGAACTCAGGGCTTTGTGTATGCTGGGCATGCAGTCCACCACTGAGCTACACTGCCACCCTTGAAAGTCACTAGCCCTATTAGTAGTCAGGGGGCCATGCTGGGGCTTGGGAGGCAGGCAGACGCTGCTCACCAGAGAGGGCAGTGCCAGAGAAGCCACCTAGCCAGCGGCTGGTAGCTTGTCTGTTGGTGGGTACAGTTGGTTGGGCACTGCTGTCCTTAACCATCATGCCATTGCCTTGCCACCAAAGTCTGTCTCCTGACCCCTATCCCGGAGAACAAGTGTCTTCTCTGCCCTAGAGGCGCCACCCTCAGGCTGACCTGGAAGCCGGCCCCAGGGCTGGGATCCCACCCAGAGCTCTGAGTTGTGATGACTCTGGCAGATCTTGCCTTTGTGGATCTTGAGGGCTTCACTCCAGTCCACGCTTGGAATTCCTGCCTGCAACAGAATGCAATCAAAACCTGGCACAGGGTCCGTCATTCCCTGGGCCCCAGCTTCTAAAAAGACCAGGCCCTGATCACTGCTGGTCCTGCTTCAGTTCCTGATGATCCTTTGTTCTCCCGCACAAGCAGGACCAGAGCACCAGGTACTCCAGGCAGATGGGCCAGCTCAGTAAGGTAGCTCTGAGCTAGCCAGCCCTACCATTCTGAATGCTCCACCAAGAAACCTCAGCCACGTAGGCTGGGGACAGCAGTGGTGGGAAATTCTCATGCAAGGGAACATCAGGCAGCATTTGGCACACACACACTTGCCTTAGAGACAGACAAGCACCAGTACCCAAAGCCCCCCTGAGACCCGAGGCTGCCCTTCTGGATGCCAGGCCTCTTATGAGGGGGCCCAGAGCCAATGAAGGCTGTCACCTCCTGCATGCCCACTTATGGCATGAAGAAATGCCATCTTAGACAGTGCCCAGCACAGCAAAGGTACATCTGCTTACAGTTTGGAAGAGAAGGCTCAGCCATATCTGATGACGTGAGTTCAATTCCCAGGACCCACATGGTGGAAGTAAAGAACCAACTCCCACAGGTCTTCTGACCTCCACGTGTGTGTGGTGATGTGTGCACATGCATGTACATACACACAACAAATGTAAAAAAAGAAGGAAAATCATGGGGCTGTGGGATGACTTAGCAGTTGTGTGTATACTCCTCTGGCGAAGGATGGTAGTTGAGTGCCCAGCCCCCACCTCAGGAGTCTCACAACCACCAGGCACTCACGCTCCAGGGGACCTGTCACCCCTCTCAGCCTGGCAGGCACCTGCACTCATGTGCACAGACACAAATACACATGATTTTAAAGAATAAAACAAAATCTCATAAAAATGTGTTTTTAAAAGAATCAATTACAGTAACAATCTCAAAAAAAAAAAAAAGAAGCCTCCAAGCTGGTCTGCAGTCTGAGCTCCCATGGGCCATTTCCCTGGAGGGAAAGGACAGGCTAACCTAGCCCCATTCCTCTCACTGAAAAGGCTCAATCCCTCTATTCCTGGAGTCAGCCAGATCTCTTAATCTTGTCCATGTCTCTACTAAATGGTAACCTCAGGACTGCAGTTCCCCCCACCCCGACCATAGGCGGAGGGCTCACCCAGCCAGGGCCAGTGCCTGCCTGTGCTAGGCCCTCCCCCTGCGCTGGCCCAGCTCATGCCCTGATGTCAACAAAGGAGTCTTGTCTTGGCAGCATCAGGGGCTCGCCTCGCTAGGCAGGCAGATGGCATGGGCAAGGGGAGCTGGTGTCCGCTGTGGCCAACACTCGAGTCTCGGGTGTAAGGAAGAGCTGAGCCAGGGCCTGTCAGATAATTTCTGCGTCTGAAGCATCAAGGTTCCGAAGACCAGCTGTCTAAATCATACGCTGTTATCTTCCTCCTGGGAAGGCAGGGCCTCCCCCTGAGCATGCCCTTCTGTCCCCACCTCTCCCCGAGCTCTGTACCAGGCAGCCTGTCAGCTGCCCGGAGGTGGCAACAGGGGACTCAAAGCGGGAAGAACCTAGAGCAGTCCCTGGGGTGGTCGCAGAGTGCTTGTGATGGAGCAGAGCAGGGACAGAAGTGGCCTCATCAGAGCCCAGCTACTCATGGAGGAGAAAGGTGCACTATGGCTTACACCAAGATAAGAAAAAATATAAACCGCACTATGCTCCTTCTGAAAAATCATCAGCCACATTTTTTTTTTTTTTGAAACAAGTCCTCAATATGTAGCCTTAGCTGGCCTGGAACTTGCTATGCAGAGCAGAGCTGGCCTTGAACTCACAAAGATCCACTTGCCTCTGCCTCCCAAGTCTTGGGATTAAAACTGTGTGCATGGGTCCTCTTTTTTTTTTTTTTTTAAGCACATCTTTCATAGGCCTGACCAGCCTAGAAGGAACTGTGGAAGCAAGACAGGTCTCTGGGAGGGGCCAGCCAGTTGAGAGCTCCAAGCTGGCTATCTAGGGCTCCTCTGCCCATCTGGCCAGACAGACAATGCAGATCAGTCCTTTCAAGGAGACCAGAAGCCAAGTGAAGCAGGACCAGTTGGCAGGGAGAGACAGAGGCCTAGAGGGTCCATGCCACTTATGATCAGGAGTGACCACAGACTTGCTCGGTTATCTTCAGGGTCCCTGGATCTGTTTTCTGAATGCCTATAGCAATTTTCTTGGATGAAGTACATCTTAGAAGATGGAAGGCAGGATGGGATTACTCCAGCCTGGTCTGAGAGAGGACCACCTCTGGGGGTCCCAGAGGCCAGACGATTGATTCGGTGCTGGGGAAAATCAGCAGTGCTCCTGGGCTTTGCGGGGAGTGAGCACTGGCAGCCAGGCTCGTGCTATTCCAGCTCTCCGGGGAAGGAAAAGGTTCCAAAGGGAGAGTTGACACTTGGAAAGACAAGCCCCTGTCTGTCAGTGCTTTTCCACGGCTGGCTTTGAGAAACTGACTCCAAGGAGACGGCCCAAGACCAGCTGTCTACAGCATGTTAAAGAATGAGAGCCTGTGGGGACCACGAACCGGGTGCCCGAGTCCCACTCCTTTCTGTGCCATCCGGAGCCACGCGCTCTTGCACCACCAGCTCAATTGCAGCGCTCCGGCCAGGCATCTTACGATGGCCTGTAACTCCGGCTTCTGTGTAGAGGGACAGCAATAACAGGCCTCGGGGAGTGGAGCCATGTGTGCCGAGTGGAGACAACAGCTAGCACCTTGCTACCAACAGCGCTTGGAGGACCCTGAAGGACATTCAGGCCTGCCCTGCACTCCATGTGGGTTAGTCAGCCTTTCCTGGAATGTTCCCCGTGAAGAGGGGCTTGCACCAGCATCCCCGGGCTGCTCTCTGGTTGTGGAGGATGGCTTCCTTCCTTTCTCTGTAAGCCCCACCAATTGTTTGACCCCAGAATCTCAAGCCCTTGCAAGGTGCCCCACACGTAGGACCGCGGAAGAACCGTGAACCAGTGAGACCTCTCCGGCTGTGGATTCAGGTTCCCAACATCAGCAGTCAGTTCTGTCCACGACCCCAGCGAGGGCTTGAGAGCAGAAGGCCCTGCCTGTCTGGCCGCCAGCAACGTCATTCAACTTCTGACAGCTCAGCTTGAGTCAGAGAGCGCAAGGCCTGCCCTGCCCTGCACGCCTGTTAAGTACCTTAAAGAGCGTGGCCTTTAGGGGGAACCTGTCCTGAGCTTTGCTTCTTTGGCTTGTATACATTTGAGATCTGTACTTGGAATGCTTCACAGTAGCCCATCTTACGACAGCCCCATAACTAGTGCATCCCGATTGTTAGGACAGTGGGGCTGTGACCTCTACATGTGCCCCATGTGCCGTCATCTGTTTTAAACTTGATTTTTAATTATGTACATGTGTGTGCATCTGTGTGTGGGTATGTGCAGTGAGTGTGGATGCCCCGGGCGCCAGAGGTACCAGCTCTCCTTGAAGCTGGATTTACCGGCCATTGTAAGATGCCTGGCCGCAGCGCTGGAATTGAACCCCCAGCCTGTGTAAGAGCAGTGTGCTCTCTTAATCGGCGAGACACCTCTCCAGCCCCCATGTACCTTTTAGTCCCAAGTTTCCATCCTACCGTCAAGGAATCTAAAGGACAAAATTCCTAAAAGTAAACACCTGTAACAAAGGTAGTGGTAGTGGTTTAAATAGTTCTAAACTAGGGATCCCAACTGAGACAAAAAATAATCGGGATATATAGCGGCATGCCTAAGAAAAGGCTAACATACAGCAGTTATTAACATTCAGAATTATCTATTTATGGTCAAACATCACATCAGGTTTAAAAAAAAAAGTAATGTGTGTCAGAGATGGTTCAGAGGGTGAACACCAGGCACAAGCTGGCAACCCGATCTGTGTGTGTGTGTGTGTGTGTGTGTGTGTGTGTGTGTGTGTGTGTGTGTGTGTCTGTCTGTCTCTGTCATATATATTAAAGATTTTAAACATCGTGACAGCAAGAATGGTACCATGGAAGAAACCGAGTGTGTATGCATTCATTGTACATTAACCATTAGAAAAGATCCATCTGTCTGGGAGGGGTGGCGTGAGGGTGTTAAGGCGGTATCTGTTATTTTTGTCATTTCTAATTTTCTCACTATGAGCATGCATTACTCTTCTGAGTTGAAAGAGGATGCAGGAAGTCCTCAGTTGTCCAAAGCTGAGCTGCTAAGGGAGCAAAGGACCTTTGTGCAGTGGGATCTTGATCAGAGCGCGCACTGGCCCTGGGCACTGGGGTACGGGGGGTGGGGGTGGGGGTGGGGGTGGAGGGGGGCGTTGGCATGTGCACAGCCCTCTGTGCTCACCCGACCCAAGTTAAAGGGCAGCAATCTTGGGAGGGAAGGAGGAGGGAGCGGGGCGGGGGGGGGCGACTCCTTTTGAGGTGCCATTCACCTTGGATCCCGGGGTAGGGAGCAGCAGAGAAGGCAAGGCCACGCCGGCAGTGTCAGAAGACCAAAGAGATGACCAAGAGGCTCCTTTGCCACTCTTCAGACCCTGTGGTATCCAGGCTACTTGCCGTCCCCTCCCCCACCCCGCTTTGGGACTCAGTTTCCTTCCACCACCGGTCGAGATTCGAAGCGTTCCCCCGCCACAGCCAGAGACCCACCTATAAGACGTGGTCGCTACCGCAGCTGCGTCCGCGTCCCCGACGGGCAGCACGTAGACCTGCCGGGCGGGGGGCGCCGAAGCCTGGCCCCTGCGGCCGCCCGGCCCGGGCACGCGCTCCGGCGCCGCATCCCGGGTCCCCGCGCGCGCGGTCCGCACGCCGAAGTCGCGCTGGTACTGGGTGAGCGGCACGGCGCGGCTGGGCTCCCGCGCGCCGGCGACAGCCGGGCTCCCGCGCGACGCGGTGCAGTCGGCGCCCGGCCCCTCGCTCCCGGGGTCCGAGTAGCCGTGCAGAGTCAGCGGCACCGCTACGTCCGAGCGGTCCAGCTGGTTCCAGCGCCGGGCCAGGCAGCACAGCCGGCTGATGCAGGGCCACGCCATGCCGCTCGGCCACGCGCCCGCGCCGCCGCGCGCGCCCGCCCGCCCGCTGCCCCCGCGCCGCCGGGCGCCCCGCGAGCCCGGCCTCCCGGCAGTCCCAAACTGCCCGCGGCCTCGGGTGGTTGAACCCCCCAAGTCCCCCGAATGTGATCTCCGGGTTCCGCAGAGGGCGAGGCCGGAGGGAGGCTGTTCTTCGTCGTCACGCCGCCTGCAGCTGGGCGCAGGTGGCAGGAACAGAGGACTCTGTTGGGGACTGTGGACACGGGTGGCTGCGGAGCAGAGCTAAGCTGTGCTGAGGGACTCCGCGGTCATCCAGGGTGGAAGTGGGGAGGACGACGACAAGGAGGGTGATGCAGAGAAGACTTGGGGCCATGTTTCCCGATAAACACGTTTGAGTCACCTCTTGAATCAGTGTAGGACAACCAATCTAGTTTTCATTAAGAACTGCCAATAGCTTCCGATCAGCCTCTGTCTGGGTTCTAAAACCCCCAAACTCCCTCCCCTGCTGTACATTGAGTGCTGTAGTCCAAGCTGAAGATCAGTTTAACCCAGAGACAACACCCAGCTGTCCTGGAAAGGCTTTCTGAGTGTATCAAGTCTGCACACAAGCTGTGTTAGTTAGACGGAACTTCTGGCTGAACTTGGAACGGATCCATCTCAGGGGACTGCCCCGCCCCGCCAGTTGGTCAACTCATCTCCCTAAAGATGGAAGTGGCATACCACTGCCAGTTTAACAGCCCAAGCCTGCCTAGGGCCCCATATTGACCAAAGTTAAGCCTGGAGCTCGGAAAGCCTTTTGCCAAAGGCGCATTCACGGGGACCCCGAAAGTATTTCTTCTCACCTAGAGCAAACTGACTTTGTGAACTGGGAGCTGGGCCCTGGGTTAGTCAACCTGGAAGATGAAGGTTAGTAGTAATGAAATAATCCACGGGAGAAAGCTATAGCCCTATGGACCGTCGCTCTTCCCAAGCCAATGAAGGGTCTAGTGAGTCCCTTGATTAGCAGGCTGATCGAGAGTCGGAAAGGCTCCTGGTATGGAAGCAGGGCAGGGTAGGGTTTTGGTTTTGGTTTTTGTTTGTTTTGTTTTGTTTGTTTGTTTTTAGACAGGGTTTCTCTGTGTAACAGCCCTGGCTGTCCTGGAACTCGCTCTGTAGACTAGGCTGGCTTCAAACTTACAGAAATCCTCCTGCCTCTGCCCCCCAACTGCTGGGATTAAAGGCGGGCACCACCACCACCGCAGGGCAAGAGTAGGGTTTTTTTTTTAAGTCAAAAGGAAGAAATCACATCATACCAGGGGCAGGCTGAGCATGGGGTGTTAGGGGGGTGTTTTGTTTGTTTGTTTACAATACACTGTTTCATTGCAGGGAAGGAACAATTCTTTAATCAAATAAGATCATTTTTCTGGAGGAACATTTTGTGTACATCCAAAATACTTTCCCAGCAGGAAAAGAAGAATCCTCTTTCTTCCTTCCTCCTTTCTCTCTCTCTCTCTCTCTCTCTCTCTCTCTCTCTCTCTCTCTCTCTCTCTCTCTCTCTCTCTCTCTCTCTCTCTCTCTCTCTTCAGAAGATAAAATATTGTTTACAAGCTGGGTGAGAGTCCGGAGAGGAGAGGTGTAGTTTCGGGACTACCTAACTTCTAGGTCATTTCCGTTAAAATACTGGTTCACAGCCAGAGAGAGGGCTCAGTGGGTAAAGACATTTCCCACTAAGCCCAGCTTCCTGAGTTCAGTCCTGAGGACCCACAAGACGAAAGGAGTACTGACTCCCCACATTGTCCGGTGACCTCTGGGTGAATTTTGGTGCATGCACCTACATACAAAGGCAAGGTAAACAAGCAGATGCAATAAAACATCTGAAAGATGTGTTTATTTTATGTGTATGAGTGCATGTATATACGTACACCATATGCAGAGGCCAGAAGAGGGAGTCAGGTCCCCCAGACTGGACTTAGAGCCGGTTATGAGCTACCATGCGAATGATGGGGTAGCAAGTGCTCTTACCAACAGAGCCATCTCTCCAGCCACGGAAAACATTTTAAATCGAAATTTTAAAATAAGTAGTTTTACAGAAAAGATAATGCTGGGAATTAGTGGTGCGTGTCTATAACCTCAGTACGTGAGAGGTGGAGATGGGGATCAGAAGCAAGTTCAAGGCCCACCTAGGCTACATAAGATCATGTCAAAACACACACACACACACACACACACACACACACACACACACAATCTTTTAAATTATGTTTTTCAGTGCCAGAGATTGAACTCAGGACTTTGTGCATCCCTGAGCTACCTCCATAGACCACTTTACTTGTTCATTCATCAAACTTGCTAGGGCCGATGTTGAGTGCCCTCAAGATGAGAGAAATGTTAGCCCAGATGCTATGAATGGGAGGGTTAAGGCGAGGCTCACCTGTCCAAGGGAGGAAGGCTGGGCCTGGGGAGGAGTCGGGGAAGGGTGGAGGGACAGCAGAGGCCAGAGCAGAGCTGGCCTTGACAGACACACAAGGAGTTAAATTTTTCCTAGGAGACAGTAGGGGATGACTTGTATTTCTGGCACTCTGTCAGTCACATGGAGCAGTATGACATTTTCAGTGCCAGCTGGAGAAGTAGTCTGGGACCAGAGAAATTAGGGACCGCACTAGAGCCTTGGCTCAAGGAGTGGAGAGGAAGGGCTGGGATCTAGGAGTAAGAAACAAGGCAGGGGAATCTGGGATGGCAAGATGGCCCTTGGATGGTGAAGGCACTTGCTACCAAGCCTGATATAGCTTGAATTTGAGCCCCAGGCCCCATGTGGGGAAAGGAGAGAGCCAGCCCTTACAAATTCTCTTCTGACCTCCACACATATGATGTGGATGCCTCCCACACAACCAATAAAGTGTAAAGTGTTTTACAGATGGAATTTTTATTTATTTTATGTATATGAGTATTTTGCCTCTGTGTGTGTGTGTGTGTGTGTGTGTGTGTGTGTGTGTGTGTGTGTGTGCCACATGTGTGTAGTGCCAGAGGAGGCCAGGAGGTTGTTGGAGCTCCTGGAACTGGAATTATAGACAGCTGTGAGCCACCATGTGGGTGCTGGAACCTAAACCAGGTCCTCAGGAAGAGCAGTCAGCGGTCTTAACCACTGAGCCACCTCTCCAGCCAACAAAGATGGAAGCCTTGCATAGCTCTGAGGCCTCTGCTTCGGATGACCTCACTTCCTTGGCCAGCAGTGCTGGGGTGCACTGCAGTGGAGCCCCAGAACCTGTAACTATCACCGTGCCTCAACAGACGCATTGACTAGATGAGGGCACAGGATGGCTGGAGCTCAGAAGACCCACACCACACCAGGAGCCACGAGGTTCCTGTTAAGAAATGAGTGTGGAGGGGTGTGAGTCAGTAGCCAGGGGACCCTTCCCTTCAGGAACAGCACAGCCAAGTAGCACCCAGGGAGAAAATGGTCTTGAAGGCAGAGATCAAACCTCAGCAGAGAGGTCAAGCTATGGGTGCTGAATACCCACAGTGTGAGGTTAGGAGAGGAGCCACGACTGGCCTCATGTAGGCTTGTGTGGGCAGCATGAGACTGTAGCCTCCAGGATATCTGTGGCGAACATGGTCTTCTCAATGCTCTAGTGCTGAACTTCAAAGGATCCATCCTGAGCATCACAGAACTCGCTTAATGTTGAAACTGTTTTACTCAGAGGACCAGCAATCTAGGAAACAGGGCAAAATCGGCCTTCAAAGTTCAGTCTTGTCCCTTTGGTCCTATGTTCCCTCATTGTCGAAGCCTCCACCACTCGTGTGTGTGTGTGTGTGTGTGTGTGTGTGTGTGTGTGTGTGTGTGTGCTGGGGGGAAGTGTCACACCACTGAGTCTTGTATCCCTTCTCAGTGCCAGTTGGAGAATATCGCGATTAACGTTGACTCGGAGCAAACAGCAATGTGCATGTGCTAAGGAACTTCCACGGTGCACGTGCTACCTGCCAGCGGCTGTTAGCACCCACCTGCTCTTGAACAAGGCTTAGGCTACAGACGTGCACAGCCAGGTCCAGCTGTCTACATGGGTGCTAGGGATTGGAACTCCCTCCTTACACTGTCAGAGCACGCAGTCTTACCCACTGACTCATCTCCTCAATTCAAAATGTGGTCTTATAAAGCACCCCTTTTCCTCCCTACAAAAGTAAGGAAAAACGCACTCTTACAGAACACGGGGCCAGTGAGATGGCCCAGTGGATGACGGTTCCTGCCACCAAGCCCAATGACCTGAGCCAGATCGCTGAGCCCCACATGCTGGAAAGAGAGAACTGATTCCCATAAGTTGTCTTCCGACCTTCCGTGTGTGACATAGGATGTGTGATCGCTCCCCAATGATAAATAAAGGCTAAAACACTCAAACCCTGATAACATAGACTATACAGTTATCAGTGTCCTTATCATCCCCCACTGATATTAGTCATAGGAGCTGTTTCCCATTCACACAGAGCTGACCTCTTGCCCCTGGGGATCCAGATGGTTGTTCCGCTCCTTAAACCTAGTGGGATTCTTGGGCCCAAAGCTGTGGACATGAGAGCACAGCATATAGAGCAACAGATAGTTGTGTCCACGGATGGGGAAGTTGGGAAGGTTTCCCCAAGGCCAGCAATGCTTGGGGCCCAGCCTCCCTCTTCTTTATGACTACAGAGACAATCTCATAAACTGTTTGGTTTTGGTTTTTCTCTTTTCCAACTGAGCCTTGTCTGACAAATTAAAACAACACCTCTTTGAATTTTTCCACCCACAGTTACATGTCGGTAATAAATAACATGTGATCCTGTTTTCCAATACTGCTTCCCTGCCTTGCCCTAGTTCCTGTCTGGTGCCCCAGAAGCCTGGGGTACTGCATTTAAGGCTTTCAGAGAGCAGAAGAGGATTGTTTCACAGAGCATTGTTTTGCTTGGCTGTTTGGTGGGTTTTTTGTTTTGTTTTGTTTTGTTTTTTTAAGACAAGATCTTGCTATGTATCTTTGCCTAGCTTCAAACTCATAGGGATTGACCTGTCTTGGCTTCCGAAGTGCTGAGGTTAAAAG